TGCCACTTTTTATAACTTACTCTGACAATTCAATGGAGACTCAGTTTGTAGGGTTTTTAGTAGCTTCTGTTACTGATGGCTTGGTTTACCAATTAAGTCTTCATTTAACAACTGATCTGAGTTTTAAACACTTGCACATACACTTGCACATTTGAAATTATACACTTGCACCTTCGCAATTTAAATGTTTACTTTTTTCTAACACCATTTTTGTCTCTGTTGAGTTATATGGGTTTGAGATTTGATCCATGCCTGATGGATCAAGTTTATTATTTTGTTCTAAAAAAGCCTCCACGAGCGTAAAGAACCAGTTTTTAATGGTAATTGCTCATGTTAGGTATTTGATACCTGTATTTGGGGGATTTGCAAACCCATTTTTTTGAAAGTTTAATCAGAAGGTCGAAAGTATCATGGTAACCGAGGGTACGATTATTGTGCCGTAGGTTGATATCCCAAATCCACATTTGAATTGGCTCCGAACTCCGCGACGTCTAGCGACAACCATTAGCATTCCTGGCCTTGTGCTACTGGCTCTTGTCACTAATTCCCCGTCATCGTGTGGTTGTAGGCACTAATTGTCCCTTTGTCTTGTGTGAAACTTCGACACCTGTTTTAAGGCGATAAAAGAGTTGCTGAGAGTTTGAAATCGACATCAATCACCATGATCGGCATGTTAAAGAGGCTGAAAGCCCCCAACAAGTCGAAGTCACCCCGATATGATGAGATTCAACCCAATAGTGCTTCTCGAAAGCGCAGATTTTATTGCGAAACCGATACAAATGATCTTCGCGAAATCTCTAGATCCTGGCGTGGTGCCAGAAGACAGGAAAAAGGCTCGCGTTACAGAATTATTTCCAAAGAGAGACTAGAGCCAATCAGAACTCTATCGACCAGTGCTGCTAACAAGCTTTGTTTTAAGCTATCAGAGAGCGTGATTCGAGATTCTATACTTGAGCATACGCAGAAAATTGATCTCTTTTTGGATCCACAGCTCGGCTTAATTACGGCGATAAACGACCCTACAATTTTTGAAGGTCATGGAAGACTGGTCCTCAACAAAGGAACCGAGCCAGCTCAAGTGAATTGTGGAATTCCTCAAGGCATTGTGGTTGGACCCATTTTGTTGGTCATGTTAATAAGACTTGATAACGAGCACTATTTGGATGTTGTCTGATGACACCAAAGTGTACGGCTTAGTGGATTCTGAAGAGAAGTAATTTCGACTTCTAACTGATATGGAATCATTGGTTGCGTGGAGGGGAAAGCTAACTTCAGTTTCACCCAGACAAAGTCAAAGTAATGCAAAGGGGCAAAAGCAAAATCAAGCCGGTTGAAGATAGATTGGGATCGGATATATCGTGACCAAGAATTAAAGTGACCAAATCCCAAAAGAATCTGGGAGTGATCTTTGGTGGTGCTCTATAAGGGCATTCAATATTGAATGCCTAGAGATTCTCCGTGCACTTTTGAGACAAGATAGGCAGGTTTTTTTTTACATTAAGCAGCCTTGTGCAGCCTCTGGGAGGCTTACTTCTAACCTTCTCTTCGGATACCAATCTCGTTGAGGCGATGCCACTTTTGATAACTTACTCTGACATTTCAATGGAGACTCAGTTTGTAGGGTTTTTAGTAGCCTCTATTACTGATGGCTCTGTTTACCAATTAAGTCTTCATTTAACAACTGATCTGAGTTTTAACCACTTGCACATACACTTGCACATTTGAAATTATACACTTGCACTTTCGCAATTTAAGTGTTTACTTTTTTCTAACACCATTTTTGTCTCTGTTGAGGTATATGGGTTTGAGATTCGATCCATGCCTGCGTTACAGAATTATTTCCAAAGAGACTAGAGCCAATCAGAACTCTATCGACCAGTCCTGCTAACAAGCTTTGTTTTAAGCCCTCAGAGAGCGTGATTCGAGACATTATACTTGAGCATACGCAGAAAATTGATCTCTTTTTGGATCCACAGTTCGGCTTCATTACGGCGATAAACGACCCTACAATTTTTGAAGGTCATGGAAGACTGGTCCTCAACAAAGGAATCGAGCCAGCTCAAGTGAATTGTGGAATTCCTCAAGGCATTGTGGTTGGACCCATTTTGTTGGTCATGTTAATAAGACTTGATAACGAGCACTATTTGGATGTTGTCTGATGACAATGGCAATACGTTTTGGATGATTAAGATTCCAATTTCAGATCGTAGTTTAGTTGTTTCTTTTTTAAAAATGATTTCTTTTGATTTTTGAGTTTTGAGTCTTTCAGTTTACTAATTTGGCGGCATATTCATGTCGAAAATGTGGCAAAATTAGGTTCGGCAAAGAATAAAGTTCAATGTCGTAGACATAGCCGGGCCCATTTGCAGGTTGCAAAATAGAAAATTGTTCATTGAAGCTGATGGTACGTCGTCGTTGATTGTAATGGTGATCTAGTTGTTAGCTGTCGTTGATCATGTTGGTCATCTAGTTGTTACTGTGGTCCAATACTCGCGAGAGTTTGACTGCTGGTCGGTGTAGAATCCCCCTGCTATCTTTAATTTCGCAGGAGCGAACGATTCCGTCTGCACCTGGGAAAGTACGAAGTACACGTCCCAGGGGCCAAAGACCTCGAGGCGTTAGGTCTTCCAGTATCCATACAAGGTCTCCTTGATGAAGATTTTCCACTTGCTTTGTCCATTTCGTTCGGGTCGTCAAGGTTGGCAAGTAGTCTTTGAGGTATCTGTTCCAGAACTGTTGACTCAAGGCTTGAGCTTGTTTCCAAGTTCTCTTGTCCGTTGTGTGGTGAGGGAGAAACAATCCGGGAGGCAAATTGTTTGTTGGTCGTCCTAGTAGAAGGTGATTGGGTGAAGGGGCTCGTCGTCGGTTGGGTCTGATGAGACGTTGGTTAGCGGGCGAGAATTCATCATAGCTTCAACCTCGCACGTGAAGGTTGACAGAGTTTCGTCGTCCAGTGTCCGTGTTCCAATGAATTTGTAGAAGGCAATCTTAAATGTTTTTATGAGGCGTTCCCATGATCCACCAAAGTGAGGAGCTGCAGGTGGGGTGAATTCCAGGTTATTCCAAGTAATTGGCATTGATTGTTGAAGTCGTTGCTGTGTTGAATCTCAGAAAGGCTTTCCTGTAATTCCTTGTCAGCTGCAACGAAGGCTTTTCCGTTGTCAGAGAAGATGATCCTGGGTTTACCGCGTCTAGCGATGAAACGGCGTATGGCTTGTAGAGTTGAGTTTGTGTCAATTTGCTGGCATATTTCTGAATGAACTGCTCGCGTGACGAGGCAGGTGAAGAAGAGAACGTATCGCTTACTGTACTCGTCGTTGTTCCGCGTGGCAAAGGGTTCAAAGAAGTCAATTCCTGTTGAGTAGAAGGGGTAACTGTTTTCCGATAAAGGGAGTCGCTGTAGGGGTAGATCTGCCATCAGAGGCTTCACTGGTTCCTGTCGAAGGCGTCGGCAAGGTATGCATTGTCAAATAGTTTTCTTCAGATGCTTGCGTGATCTTATGATCCAAAAGTCCTGCTGAAGAATGCTTCGGGTGTGTTCCATTCCACAATGGGAATTTATTTCGTGTTTGCTTCATAAAAAGTTGTATTAGGTAGTTTTCAGTAGAATGACTGGATGTCGGCTGCAAAGTAGAAGCGGGGCTTTCTGTAGTCGTCCTTTGGCACGTAAGTATCCGTGATCGTCGATGAAGGGGCAAAGAGGTTGTAGAGGGCTGCGGGGTGGAATGTCAGATTTTTTTGTCAGGCATGCTATTTCCTTGGGGAATGATTGATTCTGTGAGTGTTTAATGATCCATGCGAATCCTAAGGTGAGGTGTTGAAGTGAGAGGCTCTGGTGTGTCTTCCTTTTGATGTTTTCTGCGAAGAGAAGAACATATGAAGTAACTCTGAGTGCTCTTGTCCAAGTGCTAAATCGGTTGAAGTCGATTACTGATGTTGGCGGTTGTGGGTCGTTGTCTGTCAGATGAATATCGGCTGTAGGTTGTGTTGGCGGGTGATTAGGCCAATCTGATGATGGTCTTAACAAGAAGTCTGGTCCTTTGATCCATCGTGAATCGGTAGTCATGTCACATGCTTTGTAACCACGTGTTCCGTCGTCTGCAGGGTTGTCTTTGCTGGGCACGTATCTCCAGTCCAGTGAAGATGTTGAATCCATGATGAAATTCAGGCGGTTGGCAATGAAGATCCGGTGTCGTTGATTCGGCGAGTTTATCCAATGAAGAACTGTTGTACTATCTGTCCATAGTGTCGTACTGTCGATTCGTATGTCATGTTGTTCTTTGATGAAACGAGACAGTTTAGCTCCGTTAGTGGCGGCTTGAAGCTCGAGATTTGAAATTGTCATTCTGCTGATGGGTGCTACTCGGGCTTTTCCAATGACGAACTTGAGTTCCGTTGTGTCGTCGTTGTATCTGATTCTGAGGTAAGCAACTGATGCTAAGGCAATTTCGGAGGCGTCGCTGAATACATGGAGTTGGGTTTCCAATATTTCGTTTCTGGTTTGAAGTAAATCCGGGGCAGGCAGATGTCGTTGAATTGGCTTCGCTTGTCTATCCAATCATTGAGGTCTGTTAAATGCTCCATGTTTAGAGGTTTGTCCCATTGAGGTCCATTACTCCAGGCAAATTGAAGTGATTGTCGTAGTCGAATTGTCAGTGGCATCGTAATTCCAAGCGGATCAAAGATTGAAGAAGCAAACTTCAATAGTTTGCGCTGCGTTAAGTCCTTCTTGTCAATGGCGTGAAACTTCTTTGCTTCCACAAGAAAGACGTCCGTGTCTGGTTTCCATTTCACTCAAGAACTCTTTCGAGGGGTCGTTCCTTCTTGGTGAGGCTGTCGCTGTTTTCCAAGTGGTTCTCGTTGACTGTTGTGAGAAATTGTTGAGAGTTTGAGGTCCATTTTGTGAGGTTGAATCCTCCAAGGCTGAACATCTTTTGAAGGTCGTTCATTAACTGTGTCGCTTCCGTCGGTGTTGAAACGGCTTTGTATAGGTCGTCCATTTATATGTTGCGTTTTGTGATTTGCTCCAAGGCTGGATATTTGTCGGCATTGTCCTTCGCACATTGTCGAGTGGCGTAGCAGGCAACACATGGTGAGTCGGTAGCTCCGAAGATTTGGCGGGTGTATTGGAAGGTTGCGGGTTGGCCCGTGTTGTCCTTCCACAGAAATCGCAAATACGGCTGGTCTTCTGGGCTCACGAAGACCTGCATGAACATTGCTTCAATGTCGGTAGAAATAGCGATTTGGTCCTCGCGAAATCGCATAACGATTCCAGTGAGGTTTGTGAGGAGGTCTGGTCCAGTTAGTAGGTTGCTGTTGAGTGATACTCCTTTGTAGATGCTCGATGCATTAAGGACTCGGCGTACCTTGCCAGGTTTATTGATGTTTGTCACTGGATGATGAGGAAGGTACCATTTTCCTGTTGAGTCTTCATGGGAATCATCAACTTTGACTATGAAACCTTTCTGCAAGTCGGTGTCAATGGTCTCCTGATATTTCTGTGCCATCTCGGTGTTTCTCTTCAGCCGTTGGAGAAGGCTGTCGAGCTGCTTCTTGGCAAGCCATCTATTGTTTGGCAGTTGTTGTCCACGTTTCCAAAGCATTCCAACTTCGTAGTGTCCATTGGGCAAGCGGGTTGTTGAAGATTCCAAGATGCGGAGAGCTTCCTTGTCTGTTGAGAGGCTGCGTTGGTCAGTTGAAATCCCTTCGGCGTCCATTTTCATCCATTCAGCTACGTGGCGAAACAGTGAATCGTCTGTCGTGAAGTTGATTGTGTTGATGTCGTTGGGTGTCGCTGCATTGTCTCGTCCACAGAGAGACCATCCAAGTGGCGTTTTCCATCCAATAGGCACATTTTGTTTTGAATGGATTACTTCTGAAGGTGTCACGAGTTCGGCGAAATCGCATCCAATGATGATTCCGATTTCTTTCGAGGGCAGTGTGGCTATCCGAATGTGTTGAAGTGGCTCGTTCCTTTGGCAGATGGAGTTGACGAGTTCAGGGTTGAATTGGGAAAGGTTCCAATCCATTATGACGTCGATGTCATTTAGTTGAAATGGCTGCTTTTGCTGGTTGTAGGGTCCAATCGCGATCGTCATCTTTGTAGAAGCTGTGTCTGATGATGTCAGTGCTTGGTTTAGCTGGATGGTGTCGTCTAATTGCAGATCTGGTTTGAGTTGGAGGGCGATTGATGATTTAAGCAATGTCAGTTTGCTTCCACAATCAAGCATTGCATAGGCATGAACTCTATGTTTGCCATGAGAGATCGTTATTGGCAGGGTCGGAATGTGGCGAGTCGATTTCCTTCTGCTTATGCTGGTGCTGCAGTTGGTGGTGTCGTCATGTTGTCTGGAGTTCCGGTTGGCTGTCTCCCTCTGTGTCGTCGAGTTGTAGGTGCTGCTGTTGTGCAGAAGTGTGTGGTGTTTCTTACTGCATCCGTCCGTCCGGCAGGTTTGCGTTGATTGACAGTCGGCGAACTTGTGGGGGCTGAGGCAGTTGAAACATAGTTGTAGGTCCCTGGCATGCTGTAATCTGTCCTTTGGGTTCATTGCGATAAAGTGTTGGCATTTTCCAAGGTACTGGCAATTGCGTTTCTCCGGGCAAAAATCTCGTCGTTGATCTTTTTGTCCAGATTTATGTTGCTGCTGGCTGCGTTGCTGGTTCCGGTTGTTCTGATTGGCGCGGTGATCCGATGGTCCATGTTGGTGGGTGTGACCGTTGGATAATGATCCTTGAGTGTTGCTGCTGTTGTAGTTGTTGCTGCTGCTGTTTCTGGTGTTGTTGCTGTTGCTCGGCAAATCGCTGCATGGTTCGGCGTAGATATTGAACCAATTGGTGAGGTCGATGAGTGATGGTTGTCTGATTTTGCATTGCAGATTGTATCTATTCCATTCTAGTCGGCAAGGGGTAGGCAGTTTTGACAAACTGTTTGGACATTTGTCTTAGAGTGTAGATCGTGCTGGAATCCAATTGTCGTGAATGTATCGGCCATTGTCTGTAGGAAGTTGGCTAGGTCCTTGTAGCTTCTGGTATGTCGTAGATTGGGGCCGCTGATGGCGTCGAGTCGTCGAAGGAAGGATGTAACTATCTTCGTCGGGTTACCAAAGTCGTTTTCCAGTCGCTGAAGGGCTGCGTCATACATTGCTCCATTGCATCCATATCCTCGGATGAGAGATTTGGCATCTCCGGATACAAGTTTCTGCAGATGTGTCATCTTTTCCGAGTTTGTCATGTCGGTGCTGTTGATGGTTGCGTTGAACAGTCCTATCCAATCTAACCATTGTTCAGGTTCTCCGTCGAATATGAATAATTTGACAATGGGCACTGATTTCCTGAATGTCTTCGAGATCGTTTGATGATGTTTGTGGTCTGTCGGTGCTGTTCCAAGGTTGGTCGGAATCGGAAAAAAAGTCGGCTGGTTCTGATGTGCTGCATGTTGATGTGCTGCATGTTGATGGACTGCATGTTGATGAGGGGGAGGTCGGTTGATATTTGGGTGAGTTGTTCCTGTTGGTCCCCTGCAGCCTGCATGAGTGAAGGCTGTTGTTGATGATGCCGGCATGTTCGTAGGGTTGTATGCTGTCGTGGTTCTCAGAAATCCTTCCTGATACGATCGTATGGCGGGTTGTGTACATTGGTGAGTCAGGGTCGGCTGGCTGGAGGTCCAATTTGTTGCTGTTCGTTGATCTCCAGGGTACTGATTTGAAATGGTTGGAGTCTTTCAAATTAGTAAACTGAAAGACTCAAAAATCAAAAGAAATCATTTTTTTAAAAAGATTTCTTTTGATTTTTGAGTTTTGAGTCTTTCAGTTTACTAATTTGGCGGCATATTCATGTCGAAAATGTGGCAAAATTAGGTTCGGCAAAGAATAAAGTTCAAATGTCGTAGACATCTGATGACACCAAAGTGTACGGCTTAGTGGATTCTGAAGAGAATTAATTTCGTTTTCTAACTGATATGGAATCATTGGTTGCGTGGAGGGGAAAGCAAACTTCAGTTTCACCCAGACAAAGTCAAAGTAATGCAAAGGGGCAAAAGCAAAATCAAGCCGGTTGAAGACAGATTGGGATCGGATATATCGTGACCAAGAATTAAAGTGACCAAATCCCAAAAGAATCTGGGAGTGATCTTTGGTGGTGGTCTCAAGTTCGACAGTCACTTTGCTGAGAAGGCGAAGAAAGGAAATCGAATCCTGGCACTCATTCGCAGGACATTTAAACATCTGGATGCAAGTATGTCGCGTTTGCTGTTCAGCTCACTCGAAAGACCTCATATGGAGTCTGCTGGCTCATTCTGGAACTCAACATAAGAAACGTTCTAAGGCGTCCATCTGAACCGCCGCAAGTTTTGCGTTCTCTCAACGAATAGTTAAAAGTTGTGCTTTCTGAACATGAGAAAATTTTTGTTGCTAGATATGGGCTTCTAGTATCTCGGAACTTCGTTTTCTGTTGGTGCGTTAAATAATGTCCAAACTGGGTGATGTTGGGTCTATTGCTGCGCACATGGTACACAAAATTGAATTTAATTAAATCGAGTGCCAAACATCCAAGTGACAAAGTAAATGTCACCTTAAGGAGCTGTGAAGAGAGCTCACAGAAATAACCCATGGTGGCGAACTTAAATGCACATCAAAAATGATGAAAATCCTTATTTGATTCATTTATGATGATTACTTCTTATTTGTCCTTTTATGATGAATACCTTATTTGTTGTAAATACTCTTAGAAGAAAAGTGACTTGTGTGTAAAGGCTAAGATATTTTTGCACAAAACTGAGGTGCAGATTTTGATTTGCTTGTTACCTTTGCGTTAAGTAAGGGTACTGCAACCGGGTACCCGACGTTTTTTCCCGTAGTAACTTTATTCACAGGAGTAATCTCCTGGACTCATTCTTCTACTGGGTCTTTCTGTTGCGCATCTTACTGCAATGTTACAATGTTTTGCGCATGTTATTGTTTTAACTATCCGGCCTAATAAAATTTTGCTTTTTATGTTGTAATTTTACTATCTCGATTCGTTAAATTTTCGATTGTTCTGTCTTTTTTGGCCTAATAGGTTCCGGCTTATTTTATATCGATTCAGTGGACTCTTGTTGCGTTGTTTGATGAACGAATAAAGATTGTGTGCGTGTGTTCTGAGGGGCAGGGGACATAAATTGTTTTAATATGGTTCATTTTTTCTTGCGTTTTTTTTTCGACATGAAAGGTTTCTTTTCAGGTTTTTTTTTGTTTTTTTTTCCCGCTAGTTAATTATAAACTCAAATTCAATCAACCAACTGGCGTAGAGATATCGCATTTTCTTGATCCGGCTGGACTGGGACCGGTTTTTTTTGCTAACTAGTGTTTTTGCTTTTCTTTAAATGGTCCCTTAGCCCGACTTTTTGCTGAAGTTTTAGCATTGTTCCAAGTTACTGTAACACCAATTCCTGAGTCGTCAAAGTAGAATGACTTTGTTTTAAAAACAGGATTCCATTCTGAATAACTTCTTGATCGAAAAAACAATTTTGCACCTTTGTGATATGCTTCTACCCGCTCCTGCTCAATCCAGTCCCCCACCCCGCGCACTCCGTAAATTGAGTACTTCAAAGAAGGCTCCTAGGTGCTGAAGTGTGGAAGCTCTATTAGTCGTGATTTGGATTCGAAAAATAAACAATTTTAAAAATTTGTCCGTGTCGAGAAAAAATGGTCTAAATTTCTGGCTATTCAGTCTCTACTTCAATGAAAAAATCTAATTTCAACGATGAATGAGTTGTCACTTTAAAACTTTGAATGGTTGAATGATACATTTTGAAGAGACCCTGCAAGATGTTGTGTTTCTCCTTGATGAAAAACAAAAGAGTTTTTTTGTCCTGCAATGATAACCATGGTCAAAACATTTATAAAACTTGCTTCCAATTTCCCAGAGTTGGAATGATTTTTGCATATGCTTTTTTCACCCAAAATCTGGAACCACGAGGCTATGGGGGTCTATTGATGTGTATTATTGAAGCACATTCAGACTCGATTAGAAATGACATAAACAATTTCAGCACTCTTTGTATAGCAAGAGCTGGGAGTTGTTTCCGCCGTTTACAAATTTTTTGAGGTTGTACAGGCTACCGACAAGTTGATCGAAATTGATATTCATAGTTAACATCAGTCGTTTATGGTCATTTTTCCCTTTTTCTAGTTAACACAATAATTTTTGCATCACGATTCGAATCTCAGATTTGTAAAATTAATATTAGAAAGTGAGACAAAAGAATTAACGAATAAAAGTTTAGCGAATTTTAGAGCTGTTTTTTTTTTGTTGGTGCAATTGAGAAAATTTGGTTTTCTTCACTCAGTTTCTTCATCTTCAACCTCTTCAGTTTCTGAGCATCCGCCGACTTTAAAAATCTTTTTCTGTTTCATCCGTCTGTTTTGGAACCACGTCTTGACCTGAAGAAAACAAACCAGCTGAGTCATTAGGTTATTGTGAAGGCTAAGATTGGGAAAACGTGAAATAACAAAATTTTGATCTCTTCAAAAGTTAGAAATTTTAAGATGTTATAAAACCAAGTTTAATTCGATTGGTGGATAGCTTTCACCAAAAAAATGATTTGATAATTGTGGCTTGCGATTCGCAGAGGATCTATGAAAAGCTTTCCAGCCTGTGTAACCATAGTCCGTTTCGGTTGAACCTCAAATGCGCTCTTAACTAACGAGACATGGAAAATTATCGTATGAAAACGAAAGAGCGTCAGTTTTCAATATTTTTAGGGGGCGTTTTCGGTAACCAAATGAAAAGCGTAAATTTTAGATACTAGAAGTACTTTGTTGAGATCATTTACGGGATGTGGGGGAGCTGGATTGAGCAGGAGCGGGTAGAAGCATATCACAAAGGTGCAAAACTGTTTTTCGATCAAGAAATTATTCAGAATGGAATCCTGTTTTTAAAAATTACCGTTTCTAAAAATTACTGTTTTAAAAAGTAAGAAATTTTTGGCTCGCCGCTTTGTTTCCCTTCCTCTGCGAGTGATTTTTCCAAATACCACTAATGCTCGCAGAATCAAAATTGCGCTCCCAAAAAATCGGATGAAATTTTAAAAAATCGCCTCTTCCAAAAGTTTTTAATCTGCGTACGCTTTTGAAATAAAGCAAAATTATGATATTTTAAACAAGCAAGCCGTTGATGAGGAATGCACAAATTTCTTGCGTAAAAGCTCGAATAAACAAGTGCTCATTTTTGTGACGCTTCTGGTGCATAGCATTGGCATTTTGATATCATGTGTTCGATACACTTTTTTGGTGGCTAGTATTTAACCTATTTCTAGAGCAAATGGCGAAAATAAGAGAATGTTAGACTCGTAAATTACAATTTGGCGGTTCGATTACGGCAGCTGAAAAGTTCTTGATTCTTCACTGCTGGTTCTGCTTTTGCTTTCCTCAGTTCGTTTTTTTTTTACTTTTTGGAGCTACTTTTTTCCGTTTTCCAGCTTGTGTTTCCGATGTGCAGGTCCTAAATTCGAATCCGGCCAGGCCCTACTTTTTTGCAAGCTCATTAGTTGTTAAATCTTGTGAATTTCGAATGTTGAGATTTTTTCAAAAAACAAGTCAGTTTTTTTTTTGTTTTTGCGTTACTTTCTCTTTTCCAACTGTCAGTTGGCAATGTTCATTATAATTGCAAGTGTTGTTCATTGTGTTTTAGGGGGGATTTGATACTTTTTTTCGGCTCAACTGGTGTCTGCTCAAAAGTTGTCGGCTTCATTTCGCGCTTCGTCAATTTTTTCCGTTGCTAATTTAAAGTTCAAATGTTTTCCTTGGCATGTTTGCCTTGATTGAAATTTTATCGAGATATACAAATTTTTTAGTATGCCTAATTTCATTTTTTGTACTTCTAATGTTGTATCGCAATGTGTTTAAAAATGTCGGCTTATTTTTTGATTTTTTTTTTGGTGATCTAAACGGTTTTCACTTTTTGTTTAAAAGTCATTTTAAATTATAGTTTTTAAACTACCATCCCTGATTTTGTATAATCTGATTTTCATTTTTTTGCGTAATAGGTTTAGTCGGGTAAAATAATTTGCTATTCTGTTTTCGTCATCTAATATTGCTTCGTTTGAATGGAGATTTTTTTTAGTCCAGTGCGTTTCAGGAATTTTACAACTCTTCGTTGCAATAATTATTTTTCCGATTCAACTGGCATCTACCCCGTTTTTTTGTCTTATGCCGCTCGATCGTTTTTTGCCGCTCGATGTTTTCTGTGAGTGCTTATCTACGGCTGGCGTTTAGAAGAGGAAGGGCTAACAAACTCGATAGCTCAAAATTTTTCATGTCAATATTTTTTTTTCGACTCAACTGGCGTCTACCCAAGTTTTGTCGACTTTGTTATCGAGCGATAATTTTTCTCTGAGTGCTTATTCAACGTGGGCGGTTTTATTTCAAGACACATTTTTCTCTAAAATAACATCATTCGAAACCAACGTATAAAATTGTTTAGATGTTTCAACGTTTTTCAGTTTTTTGTCGATCGAATGGCTTCCACCTCTTTTATCCTCTAGCTTTCACTGCTATGCTTGTATAAAAGCGCAAGTGGCGCGAAGCTCCACCCTGCTTTTGTTTAGATTTGGCAGCAGCTGATCTGACTTTTTTGCAAGAAATTTAGTTATTTGTTCAAGAAAATGTCTTTTTTGTACCCTTGATTAGCAATACTTTTCCATCGGTATGATCATGTTTGATCAATTTGAAGGTAGTTACAACTCATACTACTCGCCTGTGTTTCGGTGAGGTTGTACTGCGTTGCGATCTCTATCCTCTCTGGAGTTGAGAGATATCGCTGCTGTTGAAACTTCCTCTCCAGACCATGTAGCTGTCCATCACTGAATACTGTACGTGCCTTCCTCCGGCGGTAGATCCTCATCCTCGGATCCCCGCCAGGGTGCACTCCCATGTTGAATCCCAAGCCAGGGACTCCACTCATCGCACTACATGACTGGGCCATTGGGAACATACAACCCAGAAACGGATTCAGACCTAAAGTAAGAATAATCATCATAATAAGTTGTTTCCAACTGGAGTCATTACTTGAACAAAGTTAGAAAAAAGAATTCTTCTACAAAAAATTCACTCGAGAGAGCGTCGTGTGTCTAACATTTAGCCTGTTTCCAGGCTTCTCTGAATATTTAGAAGTCTCATAATATTTAGAGCAATTACTATGACGTTGTAGATAACGTTAATTTATCCGTCGTTTCTACATAAAAGTTTTCTTGTTCGACACAGTTAGAATAATTTCTACGTTTCATTTGTGTTAGCGGTGATGTTGCTTTATCTTAATGAAGACTAGAAAAGTTGGTTTTCTTTAAGATCAATTGAGTCGCGATTTAGTTTCCATGGAAGTTAAGCGAAGTAATACTTTTGGTTGAGGGTAAGTTGAAACTTACCTATTGACTTGTAGAATGTGGAAGCAAGTGAGTTGAACATAGGCGAAGTGGTAGGACCGGAGACAGGAGGGCCGATGGTAGCTGATTGTAAAAAGTGAGCTGGAGTGACTGGGCCTTGATGGTCCATGAAGTGACCCCCTCCGCCAAGGCCATTACTATGGATTTGCTGCTGATTGTAATGATTTTGTTGTGTCTGGACTAATAGACTTTTGTATATACTGTCGCTTATACTGCTGTTATTGCCCGTTAATCTGTTACTGCTGTGACTGATTTTGTTGGCGTTTGAGGTGTTTAGAAGTTGAAGCTGTTTATCTATCAGCCTCTGTGGGTCTTGATGCTCGCTGCTGTTGGAAATTGTTGCTGTGTTGCAACTTGATGCATTGGTTGTAGTCTGAAGATCTTTTACTTTGATGTCCTGTGGCGTTCTTGATGATGGGATTTGGAATGTTCTAGAAGGTATTTCTTCGGTATCCGAAGAGACGTTGACTATCGGGGAACTGTTGTCATTGATATTTGTGACTTGTTTATGTTCACTGTCATCTTCCCAGTCGGTTGGATTTTCTGTTTTTCTCTTTGAGATGTCCTTGTTTTGGGGTTTGGTTATTTCTGCCGTGAGGAGATTTGTTATGCTGAAATGAGCTTCAATTAGTTGGTATTAAAATTGACAAATGCTTAACTCATCAAAGAATAAAGTTTGTCTTGTCTCAATTTTTGTTTGAACATTCTCACCTGAAGTCTGTTTTGGTTTTAACTGGCGATTTTCCAGCTGCTGCCGCCAGCAAGAGACCTTTAGTATGCATTTTGCTACTGAATTTTGAATTCAGATTGATAGGGCGGGATATCATCAGTTTGTAATCAATTAATTGATATCAAAATTAAGATTGTGATCAGCACGCCAATTTAGCCAATGGATTTAAATAGAAGAGGTGTTTAGATTAAAGTTGCTGTTTTGTTTTGATAAACAGGGTTGAATTGGTTGCCTTTTGGATTGGGTCTGCTCTTCCAGTCAGTTCGCAAATGGGACAATTTGATTGGTCAAATTAGTCGAAGGGACCAGAAGTCTCTTATCCCTTTCTTCACTATCGCCCAATCAACCTTATCCTAGCAGGTCTCGTGTTAGGCGAAATTAAGCTGTATTTTAATGTGATATCTAAGTATCTATCAAAATATTTAATGCTATCAACTGTGCCTGTCTGATTGGAAATAAATCCAGTTCGTATGTCGTTTGACCCAATTTTTGGACGAGAGATTATGTTGGTGTAAGCGTGGTGTGTTGTTATGTTTTCTCTCAGAGGGGGAAAGAGATAGGAGAAAAAAGAGCTGCGACGGCTGCTGAATGTTGCTTTTGGGCTATTGGGTTGGCGCCAAGAAGTCTACCATACCAGGTGTGTCGATTAGCAATGCTGCTGCAAATGAGAGCGCTCAGAGCATGTTGTGATAGGGGATTAAAAATTTACGATTTAATAATTGCACAGTGGTCGCGTGAGCTGATTTAGGCCAAGCCAAGTAAACACAGATTAGGCCTCTTTAAACGATTTAACACTCTCGCTACCCTCTTTCTGTTTCTCTCTGCCCTCGTTGCTCTATCGGCTGGCAGCGGGGGCACTAAGGGAGGACCGGGATTGGATTGAGGGTAGTGTGAAAATGTCAAGCCATCGCACCGCTGCTCTCCATTTCAGTTGTCGACAAGTAGTCGCTAACTGGCAAATCAGCTCCAACTGGGCCTCTAATCCTAATCTGGCCAAGTGCGCCAGAACCCAAAGCCACCAGCCAGTCTGGGTCACAGCCAGAGTGGAAATTGATTCAAATTGTGGACACAAAATACTAATCAAACCAATTACTCTCCCAGCGCCTAACTGGACCAACTGCAATAACCCAACCAGCTCTCACCCCATTCTCACCCACTCTATGTCAGCCCACTTAGCGAACAGAAGAAGAGATACTAGTCTGGACAGAAGTTAGAGTATCTGGGATAACTACAGAGACACCTGGTGGGAGTTAGCAAAAACAACACAAACAAACTACTACTGTAGATCCAGTTTGCATTAATTAGGGAATCACTACGGAATCTCTGTCAAGACATCCCCTTTGGACCAACAAAAATCTCGACTGGATACCTCTCTGGATCTCAGATCCAACTGGGAGGGGCAGGTCAACCAGAAGGATCCAAATTAGGCACCAGCTGAGACGTAAAAAGCAATTAGACCATATGTTGCACCCACATATAAGACAACACAACCGCTCGTGAAGTGACACCAGAGTATATAATAATTAATTAATCCGCTTTGCAGAATTGATCCTGTTGTCAAATCCGTGCTTAACTCTTACTAACGATATCGAATTCTTAATGAGATCATGAGAAAGTGATTAATTATCCATGTTAACATAACAGCAATGGCTTCAATTAACCCGATATCCTCACCCATCGCGGAAGGATGTTTAGTTGAGTTCAACTTTGATTTTTTATTCAGTTTTTGAAGGCAGTTGCGTTTATATGGCGCAGAGTTAGTGTTCTGCACAATTTCAGCCATGGTTTGATTCTTACTCTTCAAGAGCGAAGCAAAGTTTCGGTGCGTAGGCTAGATTCATCATTGACGCGATGTGATAAGCTTGCGATTAGCAAGCGTTATTAAATCTGAATATTGACTTTTTTGAGGTTAACAACTTGTTCAACGAAGTCACTTGAATGATTTGATAGCTTAACTTATAAATAATCCAAATTTATTTTTTTGGCTACTCCGGCGCACGTTGTCTAGAGGTAACGAATACGCCTGGGACGGTACAAGTTGTAGGTTTGAATCCGTCCAGGGCCAGTTTTTTTCTAACAAAAGTTTTCCGTTTCAAAAAGTTAATCGATTTCTTGTTTATCTGATTGTTATGTCGGCTTTTTTGCAACATCACGGAATTTTCTTGTGCTGTAAATAGATTGCATTGTATTTGCAAGTGTTTTTGATTTACTCCTTAAATTTTTAATTTTACCCAGGACCTTGTATATTGAATGGTTTTGTTTCTGTTTTATCGGCTTAATGAACTATGTTTTGTCATTTGAATGGAATGGAAACATAATTCTTACGCCCCTCCCCTCCGGAAACAACCGAATAAAAATTTTAGAATTTTGGAGCTCAAAATTTTTCATGACAACAGTTCTGTTTTTGGGAAACTTAGCCAACTTTTGTCGGCTTATTTGCTTATATCTTTATTTAACGCCGGAAATTGTGTTTTTTTAGGCGTTTTCATCATAGTGAACATCATTATACACAAAGTTTTTGTAGTTGTTTTTTTTATCAAGAAAAGCCTTTTTTGCCTGTTTTGTTCAAATTAAATTAGCCTGCGGCTGGGAACTTTTTTTTGTCGAAATAAGGTTTTATAGTGTTCTGTTAGCGCCCGGAAAACCAATTTGGTCAACCTAAATAAAAGATCATTTAACTTTTTGAAAATCTGTCCTGGAGAAAATCCTAGATCCGCCCCTGACACCGTGTGACAATTTTTAGCCATATTACTTGAATATGAACTCGAAAATCTCCTTATGTTTGGTTGAAGTATCTTTGTTTTTTTTTGTCTTAAAATAATTAATCTGGAGTTTGGAATCATTGACTGAAAAGGTAGCTCATTACTTATTCCGTCCATCTTTAATCTGACAAAGAGCAGCTCATTTCAATTCCAAAGTTGTAACTTTTTCTCTATTGGCTCTAATGAGGCATAGTTGCTACGTCTTCTCAATGAATCTCTTCTGCAGTTAACAGTTGATTTAATTTGTTTTGCCCTCCAAATTAGACATACAATTGATTTATTGAAAGTTATACTGACATTGTGATTCATTGTTCATTCAATCGAAAGATCTTATCTGCCTAAAAATAACCTAGGAGCGAATGACGTTGAAGTCTAAAAGTGAGAAGTAATAAGAAATGGAGTTATGCCAATTGGGATTTATAGGGTGTTTGTAGAATTTATTCGATCCCTGATTATTGAGAGAGGGGTTAAATATTCTGGGTTGCTGTTTTGGTTGTCTGGCGTGTTGACTTGTCTTGCTAACTTCCCCCGGAGACCTTAATTGCAATTTGGGAATAAAATTATCAACTCAACTTCTGCTTTGTTTGTTTAGATTTACTACTTAATTCTCTGCCTTTGAGCTCGAATATTAAACCAATCACTCTCTAAACCACTTTTCACCCTAGCTCGTTACAACCAACCCCATCCCTAACATCTCTGTCTTGCTTCAATGTGCTATAATACTACTAACACTCCCTCCCCCCCACCTATCCTTTCTACCCTTCAGTTGAATGCGGGTATTTGGCGGCGACGCTGTTGGTAACTAAGTGTGTAACTATTTAAATAACTCGCCTAATTCCCCACTAATGGCCCGAGCAGCAGTTAATCAGTAACAATAACCTGTGCAGGCTGTGATGTGTGATTTAAGAGGCCGCCCCAAAACACTTCCAGTCTCGAGACGCCTCCGCGCTCCACTTTCATCTGCATTCAGAGTGAATTAGCAGATCTAACTGGATTATTAAAATGTGTTAACACTTCGATCAAGAGATAACACATAACAATCAGGCTAACTAAACTAAGCTTTAAGGCCAGGTACAAACGAAACTCTGCCAGTTTGAACTGAAGTGAAGATTGAACCAACCACTAGTTCTTTATTAATATGTGCCTGCGCGCAACTTAAGAGATTTGTAGAAGATATTGGCCTTAAAATTGAATATTATGCCAAAGTTTTCGGTTTAATCGATAATCGAAAAAATGCAATAATTTAGTCGGTAATTGGTAAAAGGTGTGTTGAGTTAACTCAGTTATTAAGCTTGTCGGGTCTTCCCATTCTGCTGAAAAATTCAAAACAAAAGCCTATGTTTGAGAAAGTGATTTGCATTAGAAAAAAAGTCATGTCAATTTGTTGATATCTGGGCATAGCAAAATTTTTTTTTGAAAATTTTGAGAAAAAGACAATTTGGTTTTGGTCAAACTTTTAGGAGCGTTTTTTCTGAGGTACGAGGTTTAAATTCAAAATGATTTTAAAATTATTGGTTTTCAACGGTAAAAATTGTTGCCTAAGTGTAAATTAGTTTTAAATTTCTAAATCGTTGAGCACCGATGAACGTAGTTCAGACTCTTATATAGGTCGGATGATTTTTTTCAGGAAAACTCTTGTTTCGTCTCAAATTTTTTTTGAGGTTTGACTTTTGATTTCTTTTTAATACATTTCCTTTGTTGAAAGAAAGGCAAACTCCACGAACGAACAGCAAACGTGTAAAGGTCACAAAAAAGTGATCGACTTTTAACTTCAAATATGAAATTTAATTATCAGATTTCCCAGCGAAACAATTTTTTTACCTATTGATGCAGCTTTCTCAAACATATTTTTTTTCCAGGAAACTCCTAAAAAACTTCTAAAAGCAAGTCAGTATTTTCTGCTTTTACTGCGTGTATTGACTCTTTTCCAACTGTTTCTTAGGTTGTTTACTGAAAAGATACGACGCGAAATCTGGTACCTCAAATATTCATCAGTATAGTTCAAATGATACGTAATATTATAGCCTTATAGTCCTTATTTGAACGATATTGAACAAATATCAAAAAAAAAAATTCGAGAAAAACTGGTATATTTCTTGCTTACAAGTCTTATTTTTAGCGAGTCTAGCGAGCGAGTAAGTTTTGTAATAGGGAAGATTTATTTAAGCCATGAACTCGTCTCTTTCACTCCATGAAAACTTGTTTTTGAAGCTTCATTTAGTATTTCCTTGGCAATAAAATGTTTTTGAAAAGTTCAAAAATTAGAATTTTTACTCTTTCATTTTTCGAGACAACTGTAGTGGATTACGCCGAATTCACTAGCGTTCTAAGCTTTCATCCTGCTCTTTTCATCAAACCATGCGTAAAAAACTACACGAATTTGAAAATAAAAATTGTTCTTTTTTCAGTTTTTTTAAATAATTGTGGTCGGAATTTTGTGCTATACTCGCACAGCAACCTGCCACTTGTTTTTATTCTGTTACTTTTTCAGTTTAATTGTTATTTAGAATTAAAAGGTTTCGGCTAATCTTACATGATTTTTTTGCCTCATATTGCTTTGTTTGAAGGGCGATGGCAAATTTTAATTTGATTTTGTGTGCTCCGTAGGTGAAATTTGTAAAACAATACGAGTTGTGAAATGTTCTGCAACAAAATGTTTGACAGTTTTTTTTTACTGTTTCTGATTTATAAATTTTATTTCAAAGCTTATTTACTGCTGATATTTCTTTTTTCGACAAGTTTTTCCTCAAAATTAACTTCTCGTTGTCTCGTTGATTTTTGGCTAGCTTCCATAAATTTTATGATATACTGCAACTGATAAAGAAAGAAGCTTTATATGAGGGTTTTTTCAAATTATATAAACTATTGAAGTGCGCTCGGCCGTGATTTGGATTCCAAAAAAATCAAAAAGTTATTTCGTTGTCAATAAAAATTTGTCTGAATCTTTTTTTTTAGTTTTAATTTCTTATTTTCAGCAATGGGTTCGGAATTTTTTGGGTTTTCAGTAAATCACATTTCCGTTTTATTTTCAAATGGACTTTTCAATGTATATTTAGGGCGATATTATTTTATTTGAAGTCATGTTCAATTCATTATTATGATTCAAGAAGATGGCATTGAAAATGGGAAGGAATTGTATTCTGGTTTTCAGTTTTTTTCCACGTAGAATTAGCTACCTGAAATAATCATCGACAGGATTGAGTGATATATCATGTTAAAGCCCTCTCAGTCGTGATCCGAGCGGCATTTAAAAAATTCAAAAAAAGTTTTCACTGTTTCGAGAAAAACCGGTTTGAAATTTTTGATTTTTGGTCTAATTTCGAGCTAAATAGTAAGGTCTAATTTCAAACGTATGAGCCGTGTAGGCTTACAATAGCTTATTTTAGCTGTTAAAGCCGTGAAAACTTGGGAGTTTTGAGAATCCGCTTAATCAATTTTTTCATTTTTCTCCAAAAACTGTTTTCCAATTGACCTATTTTACCCTGACTCTCAAATATGCCTAAGATCTATCTTTTCGCTCATCAACGTAAAGATCTATCTTTTCATCACAACCTGTGGAAAAAAAACGAAACCAATTTGGAAAAAAAAAACAAACATTTTTGTATTTTTTAAGACTGTGGTCGGAACATTCTGTGCTACTTGCACTGAAACCGGCTATCCGTGTTTCTTTTGCTTGTAGTTGCCAGGCATAGAGTGTTATTCGTAACTGACTGTCTTTGGGGGTTTATATAAAAATCTGGAGCAGCCTAACTTTTAACATGGTCGTGGTTTTGAATCCCGCTTCGGTTACAGTTCATCTGCATCCTCAAGGTGGGAGACCGGCTACGGCGAAGTAGATGACATCTCCTCCCCTCCCCCCTAAGAAAGACCCTCGGTAGAACGGTGGAATTAGGTCCGCGGGCTAAAAAAGGCCTGTCCGAATTTTCTTACTTGCGACAGTACTTTTTCGGAAGTGATATCTTTGATCTAAATACACTTCAGCTTTTGTATCTTATTTCTCAATTTCATGGATATAAAAATCACTTAACTTTTAAGGGAGATTTTCACAAAAAAAATAAATACTTACCCTAGATACAAAAATTAATTTTTTCTTGAAGGTTTTGTTCTTTAAGCTCTGGCTAGCAGGGGCGGATCTAGGATTTTCTCGAGGGGGGGGGGGGGGCGGATTTTCAAAAAATTGTCCAAAATTCTGACGACCTTTTTTTTTTAGGTCGACCAAATTGATTTTTCGAGCTCTCCCAAAGCACTGTTTTGCCCCTACTTTGGCAAAATTTTCTGCGCCGCAGGCAAATTTTTGAAAAAACAGTCAAAAAAGCCGTTTTTGGGCAATTTTTGAAAAATTTTAGGGTCGGTCGGCCAAAAATGGATTTCTGAAAAAGTATCAAAGGGGGGACCTTTGGGTCGGCAGGGGGTCGAATCCCTGAGGGAAGGGCGTCCGCCCCCCCCCCCCTAAATCCGCCCCTGGTGGCTAGGGCATTATGGGTTAATCGTCACATTAGATGGGCTGAGGTCGGATGGCGAGGGATGAAATTAATGAGTATTCCAAATGTTTTGTCAACCTAATATATCGTAATTTTTCATGTTGGTATTTATATTCAGCAGCATATCTCAACTTGGTCTTGGCTCATTGCGAATATCTGCAAATTGTTTCAATGCTTTTATGTTGAAAAATGAATTTGGTGGAGTTAAAGTGTTTTTCAGTGATTAGAATGGCCTATGATCCGTACGGACTGTACCGTGCGGCGCCACATCCTGCATCAGTGTATTCTAGTGCATCCTATGCAGCAGCTGCTTACTCACACTATGGTGGCAGCTACCCCACCCATGCACACTCAAACCCATACGCTCAAGGTTGGCTGCAAACAATACAAAAGGTCATTTTGAACGTATCATAGTTCGTTTTTTTTTCAAATTTCAATGATGAAATCTTCAATAAAGCATAGCGAACCCGATTTTTACTCATATTAGTCAATTTTTTAAAAACCTAGTCGAGTTTATTTCTGATTTTCTAAGTGATCTGTGGGAAAAGTAGACAAAAAAGATATAATACTACTAATTACACTTGCGGGAGTAAATCTGTAAGAAATTGACCTTGCTCCGTTATAAAACGGCGATTGATTTCGGAGCTGTCTCTTTAGTTTTCGGAGATGAAGGTTTAGTAAAATAATTAGCAAAAAATTTAATCGTTTGTACAAATGCCTATTATCTTTATTTTTTGTTCTGACTATTGAAAATGGGGAAGAACTTTGGATTCGGGTGTGTTTTAGTTTTTTGTTTTCCACGCAAAATCAGGTGCCACAAATAATTATCCGAATTGGTCGAGTGATTGAGAGTAATGAACGTAGTGAAGACTCTAATATAGGTCTTGCAGTTTTTTTTTGTTTTTTTTTAAATGAAAAGTCCTTAAAATGAAACTACAGATATGTGCATTCATACATATTAAGGTATTTGAATATACTTCTGTATATGTACACTCTTTGAGTTCAACTGAAATTCATCTGCTGAAAGTGACGTAAATAGCACTCTCCAAAAACAAATGTGTGAATGGCGCAAATAAAACATGAACGATTTTTTAGTTTCGAAAGTCGAATTTAATTCTTAGATTTCCAGCGAAATAAAAACTTTACCTATTGATCCAGTTTTCTCTAGTTGAGTTCATCTTATCACAAAAGCGCCAATCATAAATTGCCAATCTTAAAGGGCATCTATTTTTTCTTTGAAATTCAAAAATTGAGATTTTTTCAACTAAGCCAGTTTTTTTAGTGCTTACTTGCGTTCATTTCTTTTTTCCAATCTTCTATTGGCTATGTTGGTAATTTTAGCAACTCGATTTGTCAAATTATCTTTCTTCTCATTTTTGTATTTTTTGATTGGGTTAATAAGTTTCGGCTGAAATTATATCGACCTAGTGGCTTCTTATTGCGTCGTTCGGGGATCGTTTGTGTGCGTGCGTGCGCTCAAGGGGAGAAGGGACATAAAGTTTTTGTTATTTATTCAGATTTTTTTTGATTTTTTTCGGTATGAAAATCGTTTTTTTTACCACATGCTAATTATAAATTCAATTTCAATCAACCATCCGGCGCATCTGGCGTAAAGGTGACTCAACAGCTCGAGACTGCTTTTTTATTGAAAATTTTTTATTGAAAAAAAAAAAAAAATTTTGATTTTTTTTTCAAGTTTTTCCGTATGATATTTATCAACTTTGTATCGCAAGTGGTGCGAAGCTCAGCTTCGCCTCTGTGTAAAATGAAGTCCTCTGTATGTTAAATTTTTTTATCTGTCTTGTTTTGTTCGATCTTGTAAATTCAAAGCGGGGCGTTTTTTTTTCGACGGGTTATTAAAAAATCTCCAAACAGAAGTTTCCAATGCTTCATCAGATTATTGCATCGCTTTTAAAAATTGCTTTTCGCTATCGCCACTTTTTTGAAAATTGTTTTTTCACTTATCTAATTGCACCGCTGATTCTTTTAATACTTTTCGTCTGTTTTTTTTTATAAAAGGATTTTCATAATTGGAAAAAACTCTGAACATGCATTGTTCCGACTTTGGAAGAACGCAACAGAATTTATATGCATGAGATTTTTTTAAGACCAGAAAATTTACGTGCGATAATCTTTGATAAAATTCTGGGGGTTTTAAAATTCAAATCGCTTTAGAAAATTCGCTTTCGCTTAAACTCCGTGATCGGTCGCTTTTTTACCGCTTTAGCTTTAAGCGGGACGATGTTCTCTGCTTCATCATCCTTTGCCATTTCCTCGCTGGTCTTCCAAAAGATTAAGCAATATAGCCACGCCCAAAATATCGGTGCAATCACATTGAACTTCTTTCTTGTATAGTGTTCTTTGGAAATTGTTACTTCTTAAAAAATGCGGTTCTTCGTTTTTTTTTTCATTTCCTATATTTAACTTATAATTTGCGGCATCGCTAGTGGTGCGAAGCTGTGCTTCGCCTCTCTGTTAATTGGTTATTTTAAACGCGTAGTTTTGAGTATTGTAATTGATTCTCTCTAACTTTCTTCAGCCGGGGCTTACAGTGGAGCATACGGACAACCGACTGCAGTAGTGCCCCCTATGACACCCGGGATTCCCTTAGGGTCCACGGGCGGAAGAACAGCTGCTGAATCAGCTGCGAGTAAAGCCTACGAAGCGAACAAGCTATTGTCAAAAGACACCAGCGCCACATCCAAATTTACAGGTATATATTTTCGAATGTTCAGAAGAAACGTATGGAATAGTCGTTTCATCAACCCATGAAAAATGAAAAGCGAGACAGTGGATGGAGCCACTCAGCTCATTTTTAAATAAAGCTACTAATAAGATAGGGTAAAGTAATTTTAATTTATTTGTGCCTGTACGTTATTTGGCGAACAAAGTTTTAAAGTAAGGTAGGGTTGTTCGTTTTATCATTTCTGCATAAATGTGTCTGTGCTTGGTGCATGGTATGCTACTTGAGCAGCAACCAGCTGCTCTTGTTGCTCCTGCCGATTACTGATAGAGGGGAGGAATTGGTTTTCTGTTTTTGTTTCTGTGCATTGGATTTTTTTCTTTTTAATTTCCTTTTTTCACTTTTTGATCTTTTTAGAGCTATTTTGCCGTTTTTTCGCTTGTTTCCAAAGCTGCAGCTTCGCTTCTGTGTAATAGTTTGTGTGCTATCCGCTTTGATTATTTTGAGTCTCATGATGATCATTCATTGAAAAAACCACAAAAAAATGATGGTTTGTACGAGAATTATGGTACCACATGTCAGATATGGACGAGTGATATATCTACAAGCCTCCTCAGATCTGGTAAAAATGCAGTAAAAGCCCGAAATTTTTTTGAATGTTCAGAATGTACATTCGAAATATTCTTTTCATTAGACAAGCAAAGCTTGTGTGATAGCATGAACTCTTTTTTTTCCAACCTAAGTCGCAAATATTAGTATTCATTTTGAAAGTATTCTTTTATTGCATTATGTACATAAGATCAATAAACAGCTCTTAAGTACAGCCAATGCTAAGGAAATTAACTCAGACTATCATATTACAAATAGCACTTTGGCTTCAAGGTATCATGGATCTGTAGCGCAGAGGTAGGGAAGGAGACCCGCAACAAAATAAGAGAGTTCGAACCTTGTTTATAATGAACTTTTTCGTAAATTGGTTAAAAGGCGTCCGCTCTATAAATTGATGCATGTTAGTTGGTAAATTTGTTGTTTCAATTGACTGGTACTGCTAATGCGTCATAATTGGCTTGCGTCACTTAGCATTTATGTAGACTCATAATTGGAGTGCATCATTTTAGAAATTATTTGGACTCAAAGTTTTACTCATTCAGTTTTTCTCAGTAGCGTTATTGGTCATATTTTTGCTTTTGTAAGTGAAGTACAACTTCGCCTCTGTGTCATATTTTTAAGAATGAATTTTCTCGGTGTTCTTTTTTTTATTCAGTTAATTTTCGGCAATCGATAAAATAGTTTTTATCAAAAAATATTTTTGCACCCTATTGAAGAATTTGACTCCTTGAAATCAAATGTAAAATGATGCAGACCATTTTCTGCAAAGTCTTGCAAGTTTGAAAATACCCAATTTGACCATGCTATGGACTAATTTAAGCGGGTTTTTTAAGATTTTTTTCATAATGCTGAAGGAGCGACGCGAATTATTTAGGCGTGGTGAAATATATCGCACAACAAAACCGTTCCAAATTGAAATGGGGCTAGCTGATTGGTCGTAATAATTTCGTACGACTTAATTTTTTACACTATTGATCTTTGATATTGTCCGAAGTGTAGAATTTTCAATCTTTTCTTTTCCCAAAAGGGGCAGTCAAATTTTAAGGGATTTGCCCTGATATCAGAGCAGTCTTGTTTTAATTGTTTTACTTTCTTTGTGCCAATTTTTTTTTGCGAAAAGTTTAAATGTCAGGTAAGGTTGTTCATTTTATATATTTTTTCATAAATGTGCCTGTGCTTGCTGCATTCTATTTTACTTGAGCAGCAACCTGCTACTCTTGGTTTTCCTACCGATCGCCGATAGTGCGGAGATATTTATTTTCTGTTCTAGTTTGTATCACGCTCAGCCTAATTGTTGTGAGTAACTTATTAATTAGTTTCTTATAGTTGGAATGGAAAAAACTGTTTTAAAAACAAACATGTTGAGCCTTCTTCTGTTCAATTCGCAGACCTAACTTCTATTGTCAAACCTGACAAGAAAAACGATATGAGGTCAGCCCATGTCCCACGATTGAGATCCAAGACTTGAAAAATGAAAAAATCATGGATACCATTGCTAAATTCCTCGAAAAAAAAACATCATTCGGCGAATAGCTGAATGAAGTCTATAGGAAAACAATTGAAGAAGAAACAATTCAGAGTAAATTCACAAATTTTGTCTGAAATTAAGCATGAGCATGCATATCAAGATGAGCAAGATTTGAAAACTCATTTAGACGGCGGGCGAACTCCTTGAATCATATTACAGAAGAAATAAGTTTAAACTTATTGGTGTAGAGGGAAAAGGCTGCGAAGATGTCCAAAAAAGGGTAATTTGGTTAATAAAGCAACTCAGACCAATGATGATATCCTGAAGAGGATTTTTTCGTTAGAGGTCTCGCATTGGTCTAAACTCTGTTTTAGTAAAGTTTTCAAGTTGCATTGTACAAATCCGTATACAGAGTTGTGAGAAAAAACGGCAACAGAATTTGTAAACTATCTGCATATATTAACGTAAGATCTGAGCAAACCCGCTTAAAATCTGTGCTAGTTGAGAGTGACATTTACTAATCAGAAAGACCAAGGATCCAGCCCGTCTGCCGGTAATGGCCGAAGTAGCACTTCAAGGTCGCTTAGAGTTGAATTGTTTCAACATGGTTTTCATATATCCCGAAAATGAGAAGCTACATAATTTTAATTCGCACAACTCCAATTTTTCAAAGTAAAAATTAAAGACATCGAACAACTGAAGTTATTTGATTGCTTCTAAAGGTTAGATTTTTACCGAAACTTCTGAATAAAAAATGACTATGGCGCACAATTATGTTTGATAGACGGCTATAACGAGTTTAATTATGTATCCCGCGATGTTTTTCTGCTCCAATTACGAGGCATTTGTGCATTTAAAAAAAACTCAGTCAAATTGGACAATTTTTTGGAGTATGGAGTAAACGAAAATTATTTCAACCATACAGTAACATATGACAAACCACGAATCAATAAGATCGAGTTAATCAATAACTTGGATAATTTGATCGAAAGCGTATGCACTGAAGCGCTCTCTCATTCCATATGGAGATTTCAACCTTGATGTTTCTAAACAAAGTTTATTCTCTGGAAAAGACATGTACTCGAATTGAATAGTTTTGAAGTCGTTGTAAGTAACCTACACGTGTTTACACTAAAAGAGCGCAGCGTCATATTACGATAACTACTTTTTTTCTACTCAGGTCACAATTAAAAGTGCTTGTTTACTCATTTTTGGTGGCTTTTTTGCAGCAATAGAACTTTTTCTGGCTCATTTATGCTGCGTGACATTATATATTGGTATTTGGTTCTTGGGTGGCTACTGTTTGAAGGTTTTCAAGCACCAATGGGTCAGCGGTTCGATTCCGGCTCATATTGGATTGGATTTGTATTAGTTTTCAATTCAGTTTCATATTTTCATTTTTTCATCCTTTTAGAGCTTTTTTGACGTTTTTTTTGCTTATGATGGGCGAAGTTGCAGCTTTGCCTCTGTGTAATGATTTTTCTGCTATCCGATTTGATCATTTCGACATCAAAAATTTATAGAGGCTTTTCTAAAATATTTGCTGTCGTTATTAGAAACTGACGTTCTTGTTCTTGTTCAGCAGTTTTTGTCGAGTAGAAGGCCTCGTTGCTGACATTCTAATCTAGTGGAATCATTCAGATAAATTCTTTTCATCGGATTGTAATGGAATTTAGTTGATAATAGTTTCACTATCTAAGACGTGTTACTGATGCTGTATGCTTTTTAGCAGATGACCTTTCTGGTGTCGCATCGGCCCCTCCAGAGTTAGACTGCTTTCAGACGGGCTACAAAGCAGGTTGTCAGGCAGCCATACAGCAGTTTAGAGTTGTTCTGCAGACCATGTGTTTACCCCAGGCAGAAATCAGAAGTCTAATGAGTAAAATACCCACAACACCCGCTACGAGTGAGGCGACAGGGAACGACAAACACAAATGAAAAGAACAATCTATTGATCGGAGAAAATTAAACGGAGCATTCACAAGTCATTTAGTTAATTTTATGGGTTTGATTGGTTGATTAATCTGATTGGTTGATTAATCAGTTGAACGAATTTCAAATCGATATTAATCAAATATTGATTTGAGAACGACATATATGTTGAATTCGCCCCCGCTTAATCTTTGCCATCTGATTTGTTCAGATTCCTGTTACTTTTCTTTTATTTAGATGTGATTTGATCTGATGTGCAACTTGTTTTATGTTATTTTTTTTATTATCTATGACCTTTAAATAAAATTTTGTTTATTTTGTCTGGAATTATCTGTCCTGCGTGGAAGTTTAATGTTTAGTGGGTGAATATTTCGTAGAAAATGTTGCTAGACTGAAATCGTGCCTTCAGAAGGGAATGTGGACCAGAATTCCTTCTGCCATTTATTTCTAACCCACGTGGAAAATAAAAGTAATGAGAAACATAGATTTCATTGATTTTTTGTTCTACGAGAAACTAGTGTCCTCGTTTTGAATTTTATTCAGCTAAATCACTAATGCTTTCAGATTGAATGACGTTAGTAGAACACAATTCCACTTCTGGTCTCCCAGCCTCGGGCGTCCCCCGTCACTCAGAGGGGGGCTCCGGGCACGGTCAAGGGGGGTTTACAGAGGACGAAAACCAGACACTTTTGCTGCTGAGGTCAAATAAAGAGAAGTTGTTAGCAGATATCCAGCAAATCAGACGTGAGATCACAGAAGTCACGTCCAGGTATTGAAACGAAACCGGTGTTACGGTTTAAGTCAATTTCAAATGGAGAGTTACGAGGATCCGTGCATTTGTTAGGATTAGTTGCATATCAATAAAAATTTACCCGAATTCACGTGACTTGTTTTTTATTCGAAGTCTGGGAGTAGTTCCAGTTTTGACGTTGCCCATTTTGTAATTGATTCTTTCAACAGGCTGCGCCGTTTGTCCCGACGTTTCCATTACTGCCATATTGTCTGCCTATTTTCTTTCGGCCGAAGAGGTAAGACTCTTCAGTACGGCTAAAGAAGTAAAGGTAAGATTCTTGGTACGGCTAAAGAACCTTACCTCGCCCAGAATGAGCGTTCTTTCCAACATAAATACTAGATCTGCATCAACTCAATTTTTTCGCAAAAGAATTTTCCTTCTATAACTGATGACGACAGTGCTCACGCAAGCTTCTGTTGTTTCGTGTTTTTCACAGTTTTTCTTGGTGAGAATCCCATTGAACAATAAACTCTCCGCGTTATTCTGCCTCTTTGAGGGACGATGTTAAGTTGGCTCACACATCAAGCATTATTTTTCTTCCTTTCGTATATATTTTTTTCTTTGTTTAGTCAAATTGATAGTGCTGTTGATGTAATCGGTACCTTCTTACCTGGTAACGATAGTCGTCCCGGTAGCACTCTTTTTGTCAGTATTTTTTTTATTAAAGCCACAAGTTATCTCTGTTCCTCTACGGTACTCAGTCTCTTCCTGCTTTAATGATTGAGGGGTTTCGCAATTCTTATGACCCAGAGTCTGTTTCTCGCTTTATTCATAATTTGGGAATCAAATTGATTATGGTTGGACTCATAGTCCTTAGTCACAAACATTCTGTTGAATGATTGTGGATGTTAGAGATTCAATTTGCCTAAAGTGACGCATCGACAAGTCGATTAAGATTTTCTAAAGATTTTCACGAGGTCTTCCAAACATAGCTTGGGCTGTATGCATGAAGTGAAGAAAAAGATTTGCTGGGACTTCAGAGGGTAAGGCTCAGTTGTTCCAGTAGATTTTTGATGTACAGAAGTTGCCTTATCCCTGCTTGTCGAAGTTTCAATTCAAGCTGTTTATTAGCTTTTTTTTACAAGCATAGCTTTTGCCATAGTATGAACTTTCTTTTTTTCCAACCTAAGTCGCAAATATTGTTGCGACAAAATGTTTTTCATTTTGATCAATAACCAGCTATTAAGTACAGCCAATGCTCATGATATTGACACAGACTAATATATTACAAATAGAACTTGGCTTTAAGATATCATGGATCTGTAGCGTAGAGATAGAGAGGAGACCCGCAACAAAATAATAGGGTCGAACATGGGCAGGGTCGGATGTTTTTAAAGAAACTTTTTTTACTATACTAGTTAAAATGCGTCAGCTCTATAAATTTAGTCATGTTAGTTGGTAAGTTTCTTTTTTTTAAAGATTGACTGGTACTGATAATGCGTCATAATTGACGTGTACCACTTAGCAATTATGTAGACTCATAGTTGGCGTGCGTCACTTAAGAAATACTGTAGACTCAAAGTTATACTTCAGTTTTTCCCAGTAGCGTTATCAGTGATGTTTTTGCTTGTGTATGCGAATTGCAACCTCGCCTCTGTGTTTAAGTATGTCTTGCTTCTCTGCCACTTTCTTTGTTTCGTCGCTTTAAGACGGAGAATAAAAGTTCTGACGCCCTGCGAGTATTTGGTGCTTTTTGCTGCCTTTAAAATGATGTTTCTTGAAAAACGTTCAGCCTTGCTTACATCGTTCATAACACTGGTGCCTAGAAGTTTGCATTCTGTTTCATCACTAAAATTTTCCAAGTTGGCTGTATTACCTCTGCGATAAGCAAGTGTTTTGCAATCGGGTATTATACTTTTTTCCCGTAAACAAATTTGTTCACAGAATGGTCATTTTTCTAGGAATGGTAATTATCATTTCTGACATGCTCAAAATCTAGAAATTCGCCACATGAAACTACCATTATTTAAGAAGTTATTAGGTAGAGGCTGTTTCAGGTTGTAATTAAATTTTCACAAAAAATTTCTCTATTTATGTTTTTCCTTTTCGTGCTAGTTTCTGTCGGTTTATTTTCCTTTTTTAATCCGTTTTTTAACGCTCATTTTCAAAATCCTGTACAGTTTTTATAGGCTGACTTTTTCAAGCATAGGTTTTATTCCAATATAAACTGTTGTAGACTACAACTGAAAGCTCAATCATTTGTAAATTTATTAAGTCGGATTTTGTTTTTTTTTCCATTTTTTCAAAATTTTTGAGCCTAGTAAATTCATATGGCGTATTTTTGAGGGCACAATTTTTTCGCTCTGGATTATGTGTTTCACTATGGATGAGTCGTAAAAACTTATAACACTTCAGGAAATCTTTCATGATAACAGTTTTGTTTTCGGCTCAACAGGAAACAAGGAAACAAAAACACGGGTTTGTGGTTTTCATCCTAGTTTCTGTCGGTCAGTTTTACGTTTTTAAACGCTTTTTTTTATCTGGTAAGGGTTTTATTGGATTATTTTTTAAAGCATGGGTTTAATTTTATTTAAAACAGTTCTTACTTAACAAACTTCACAAATTTGTACCATGTCTGATTTTGAGTTTTTTGTTTCATTTTTTTAATCGTTTTTCTTTTAAATGTTCAAATAGTTTCAGTTCTTGTTATATCGACCGAATCAACTTATTTTGCTTAATTTCGAGCAAAATGATATCCGTTTGCGATTACGTGTTTCAATTTGGAGGGGCCAGGAACACTTTAAATTTTTTTGAAGTTTTCTTGTCGGCTCAACAGGTTTCGACCAAAGATTTGACGAATTGGTTGCTGCTCGCTGAATGGTTTCCGTTTTTGTTTAAGACTGTTTATAAACGTCATATTATGAAGTTATTATAGCTGTAGTTACATTTTCAAATAATTTTTTCAGTAAATTTTTAAAGAAATTTTTTGAGCGGCTTTTTTGCTACTGTATTGTAGATCAATATGTAGCGCATTTCTATTTTTTTTCAAGCTAGTTCTGCCACGTGTTTTCATCAAATTGAGTTTCAGTTGAATAAAACATTAGAACTTTTCGGGTGTTTTTTTTTTCTTATTTAATGAAAGTGTTCAAGAGTCGATGGCTTTGTGTATCGCATGTGATGCGAAGCTCAGCTTCGCCTCTGTGTTAAATTCAAAGAACATTTTTTCTCACGGAGAACGGGATCTGCTCTGTTAACAGGAGATTTAATAAACTTGGAGGATGGTCTGAGCCCAAAGTTAGAGGTTTCCAAGACTAAAATGATGATGGTGCAAGAGAGATGTCGGGGAAGAGAATGAAGTGTTAGCGAAAGGTAAGCTGGTCGGATTATGGTCATTTAGTGGGGTAAAAGTTGAGTCTGTAATTTCTGCGCCCTAAGAGGCACCTGTGGTCTTCTGGTATTTTTGAACACCATAGGGTTGAGTGGACATTAGCGTCTCCCATGGCGATTGTACTTCTGAGCAGTTGAGCCGCTGATGCATTTTAGACTTATCACGTTTCTCTCATATGTATCCTCTACTTTCATTTGTTGTAGGTGGTTATCCAGTGCTTGCTGGGGTTGTTTTGGGTTGGCTCTGCATGTTGTATGGTTAGTGGCATTTGGTGATTGATTTGCTGAGCATTGCGTCGCCAGCTCGCTCATTGTATTCTGTCGGTTGAAGTGATCATCTTTTTGTTGTATGGTTTTTGTTATGATGAGGCAAGAAGACTATTGCTTTGAGTTCTGTAACTATGAGTTTAGCTTTCTAGGCGGAGTGCTTCTATATGCGTTGAGCTGGCTAGCTCAGTGATGGAGCGAAGGGCGTGGTACTGTGTTTTTTCCAGTTTGTCAAACTGTGTGGCGCTAAGCCTTGGGTGCCAGGCATGCCCTGAGTAATCCGTTCAACTTCTATGCTTTAGCAGTAGTTAAGTCTGGATTCCGCGAAAGAAGGTTTCTTCTATCTTTGTTGATATATTTATTGAGGCTATACTTTTTTCCAAGACATTTCAAAGTGTCACAACAGTGGGTTTTTACACAAGCTAGATAGCAAGCGTAGTGTAATAGTTATGAATCCACTTTTTTCAATTGAACTCGCCTATAAAAGTGCTCATTTAGTGGCACTTTTTCTATAATCACAGGCTGTAGCTTGGATAATTTTTAAGTATCTGTTTTGGGCTTCATTGGCGGCTAGTTTCCGATTTTCAATCAACCATGGCACCAATACAAGAACACGGGTCTCCTTGCCTCTAGGTTGCAGGTTTAACGCCGCACTTAGAACTAGTTTGATTTATATTTGGTGGCAGTTTGGCTGCATTGCATTGCCCTTGTTTTAGGCGTGTCTGTACAAAACAGTCCCATACAAAACAGTCCAATACAAAACAGTTCGGAAAAATATGAAAATGAACGAAAAAACAGTCCAATACAAAACAGTCCGAAAAACAGTCCCAATTAATAATTGTTTTAACAAGCCCCAATTAATAATTGTTTTAACAAAATAGTGACAGCCGCAGTCGCGCCAACGTGTTGCGAGCTTGCCAACAGAGGGTAGGACTTAATACGAAATTTAGAGCCGGTTATCGCCGCGAAGCGGCGACGCGCGCGCAGCGCGCCCTCCGGCGACCTTAAACCGGACTGTTTTGTATTGGACTGTTTTTTTCCTCCATTACATGATTTTTGGGACTATTTTGTATTGGACTGTTTTGTATGGGGCTGTTTTGTATATGCACCGTTTTAGGATCTATCTGCTTCATTGTTGGTGAGTGTGAGTAAAGTTTCGAGGCCCTGTATCGCATAATGTGAGGATGTGAAACTCAAATATTGTACCGAGGGTCAGATCCGATGCATGAAAAAGTTTAAATTTTCAATGTTTATTTTAACGTTTTCTTTTTTTACTTTTTAGGGCTGCTTTTTGTTTTCTCGCTTGTGTTTGCGAAGTGCGGCTTCGGCTCTGTTGAGTTGTTATTTTTTTATTTTCGTCGATTGTAATACCTTATAGACTTGGGTCGGATTTTTTTTAGTTGAATGTGCAGATAATTGTTTTAATCTTGCCTTCATTCAGTTTGAATTTCCTTGTGTGGAATCAATTTGTAAGTTATTTCAGCATAGATCTGATATTCTGAATCAATTCTTTTTTTTTTAAAAAAAGCAAAGCGGAACGTGGTAAAGACAATACATTAGGACCAAGTAGAGATCCTTGTGGAACATCTGTCTCAATTTTTAAGGAATCAGAGAAGATGTTGTTAACTATATCTTGTGTTGAACGGATAGATAAGATTTAATAAAGCAATTGGGTTTACCAAGTAATAATGAGTGATCCACTCTGTCAAATGCAGCTGAAAGATCGAGATTTGTAAAAATCATAGTTTTACGTTTGTCAAATGTTTTGCTTGGTGTTGGATAATGTTATAGAAGCAGACTCCGTATAAGTTCCATTTCTGTATGCGATGAAACGGCTGACTATCTGATAAATACCGCAATATTCTTTTAACTAATCCACATTCTGGGATTGAGTGTGCATGATGGCTGGTAAAAGGTCAGCTTGGTAATTACAATTTTGAAAAGTCTTTTTACACTCGTTCCTGTGCGTACAGGATATTGCACCTTTTCTAGATCTTCCAGCAAATAGTGACACTAAGCACAAACAAGACTGCTCGTTTATCAGAGCAAAGCCCTGAATGTTCCAACTGTCCCTTAATTCATATCGAATAGTTTTTGGGAAAAGAAAATATTGAAAATTTATAAATTTTGGACAATATCAAACAGTGAAATGTTGAGTCGGGGGGCTATTTCGTGCGCGAAGGACCGAATGGGCGAAAAAAAACTCGTGGGCGAAGGACCGAAAGCAAAATTAGACTAAAGTCATTTTTTCAAAAGAAGCAATTGCCATTCAATTAAAATGAATTAAATGAAGCAATATTTTGCTTCTTTCATAACGAAACCCTTGAAATATAAAATTTTGTTCCAGTTCGGTGGTGGGCAATTTTAAAAATTTTGCATATTCCTGCCGTTTTTATATTCGGCGAATATCAATATTCAGTCCCTGGAAATGTTTACTTTCTTTCAAAATTTTAAATCACTGAAATCTGATTGGCTGATTTTTATTTTCGCGCATTCGGTCCTTCGCGTATGAGGGATTTCACCGTTGAGTCGTACGAAATTAATACGACCGATCTGATTAGGTAGCCTCAATTCAATTTGGAACGATTTTGTTGAGCGGGATAATTCGCCACGTATAAATAATTCGCGTTACGCTCTCAGTATTATGAATAAATTCTTCAAAGAGCGCATAATTTATTCCAGAACGTGGCTAATTTGGCAATTTTGAAACCCCAGAACTTTACAAAAAATAATCGAAGGTAATTTTTTTTTATTTGAACTCGATATCTTCAATGGGGTATGAACATTTTTTGTCGAAAACTATTTTTTCGATCAGCGAAAATTGACTGAATAAAAAAAAACAAACACACCGAGCTTAAATATTCCGTTTTCTTCGAAATTCGGAACAAAAATATTGTGCGTGCGGGGCCGTGCTATTAGTTAAATTCAACAGTCATGATTCGAGAGCAAGCGGCACGAAAAGTTTGCTTTGCTGATTTTTTGTTTCGTGATTGAATTATAAGAGCCTGTTTATGATGTAATTTCATATAAGAAGACTGAAATGGGTAAATTCAATTTGTTATTTTTAGCCAGAAGTAGTAAAAAAAAATCTACATACTGAAGGAAACGATTACATACTAAAAAAACATAGGTAGAATTGAAAAAGTGAATGCTATTCACTTAGCAATAAACGAGCTATGAAAATAGGCTTCAATTATTCTGTATCTGTTTGTGTCTGCTCTCTGTGTAGAATGAATGAGTTGCAGTCTGAAGTTGACAGACACACTGAGCCCAAAGTGTTGGATGCGATCGAATTGTTCAACCAAGGCCAGTTCCCACAGTGCTTTGCCCGACTGGCAGAAGTCAACGCCACCACATCAACATCTGCTAATGGAAACACGAACAATAATAGTAGCGGTATTAACAGACAGATCTCTAGTAGTAATACAGAAGACAGTGAAGCAACAGCAGAAAATGAATCAACAGGAGGTTAATAAAATTTTTATACTATCTTTGTCGGGAGTTATTTCATTTAATCGTGTGTCAATCGGGATATCAAATGCTTACAGTGACGATTGTTTTGCTCTTCATCTGTTATGTTCGTCCTAATTTAGTCGAAAGAAACCTTGAAGTTGATTACGCTTTTCATAGTTTTTGCCGATTATTGCAAAAATGCTTTTTTCTACTGGTATGGAAACCTCCCAATAAAGATCGATTCGTGTAAAAATTATTTGTATTTTTTACAAGTAGGGTTTAGACTACTCAGTACAGCTATGATTGCTTGCTTTGACGATAATATTAGAAATGCAAGTTAAAATTTTCGATCATTTTAGTCAACAGGGAGTGTTCACCAGAGGAGAAAGCGAACTTCCTGTCTAGCAACATGGCCCAGTTGGACCTGGAGAAGTTCCACAAGTACCTCTACAAGCCCAACAACCAACTGGTGATGCGCAACTTCCTCCTGGCAGTGCCCATTCAGGGACTCACTCTGCTAGATAGTGTGCGCAAGTGCTTCGCTTCTCTTCTATTCAACGAAGCAGAATCAGATGTTATCACGAGAATTTACAGGTGAACTTCAAACTAATCTAATTTAACATCTGGTCAATGTTAACGTTTCTGAAATATTGAGTATATTGCAAACTTTTATGAACTTTGGGTCTGTTAATGAAGCCTGCGAATCTCCATTGAGAAATATTTCGCTTATATTCAGTTCAATAAAGTTATTCTGCTGAAATTACATAGTTTCTTAGGACTCCCGTTAAGATTAGTCTCATGGCTCTCTTATGATTAGTCGAAGATTACTAAACATTGCTTTAAATTCTCTCATGAATCTTTCCGCAGTTTTAGGCTGGAATTGCTTATTTTTTTACTTGATTTATCTGCTGTTAGGGCGATTTGTCAGGGCAACAAGGTTATTGCAAGCTCCCCAAAAAGTTACCTTAGAATCGCTGTCGTGTCCTTGTTTAAACCTTTTTTGGTTTTTATATGGGTATTTTGAATGCAAATTTTTCTATTTTAGGTACATTTCGGAAAGCTATTTCCTGCAGAACCCGGAGGAAGCGGAAAAGGTGTTTGGCTGCGAGGATGCGTGTGAGTTCGCGGCAGGCGCCATCGTCTTCATTAACACCTCCATGAACAACAACAACGTCAAGGACAAGATGACAGAAGATGATTTTGCCAGCTACGGACAGTGTAAGCAGACTAGACTGTCAGAAAGCAAATGTTTTGAAGCTTTTTATGAAGCAGCCCTGTATAGAGACTACTCTTAAATGATATTTTTTAAATGATCAAAATGCAATTGTAAATTAGAACGAATACCGAGCGAGTTCCCTACCCTATTTATAGACTGAATTTTCCCCCATCTTTTTCTGAAATGATTCCTTGTTTCTAGGCCGCGAAGTGAAAGAGATGACCCCCAATGGAATCCCAAAAGACTACTTAGTGAGTGTCTACAGAGAACTGAAGAAGAATCCCCTACAACTCCGCAGTGCCAACTACAGTCCCCACAAGAGTGTACTCAAGCAGGGCTCATTGTATAAAGAGGGAGGCCAATACAGAACGTGGAAGAAACGCTTCTTCGTGCTTCATTCGGATTTCTTGTACTACTACGTCAATCCTCAGGACGAGAAACCGAAAGGTAAACATGCATGTCTTTTCATTCGCTCTTGGACTGAATCCTCAGGATAAAATCCCTACTTTTATAATCCCCCCATCGAATTAAGATAGAAAAAATTGAAACAAATTATACATACTGCATAAAATCATGGAGAAGTTGATCAAGATTTTCGAGGCCGATTTAATTGATTTTCTGGTGTTCTCCGAAGACTGTATGAATATTTAAATTAGACGTAGGCAAGTTGTTGAAAAAAAAACGGACCAAATCTGCTATTTGTGGGTACTATTTGGATAGTTCTAACCAAAAAAATATGTTTTCATTTCAGCGCGCGATTCCTTCAAATTTAGTGTTATTTTGACGCCATTAGCGATTATAGAAAAAGTTTCGGACTGTTCGGCCAAAAATGGATGTTGTTTAATCTTGCGATAAATACGTCATCAAAAGTTGCGCGTCCGCGCAAGCTTGCCAAACTGCGTTGTCAACTGCTGGTCAAGAGCCAGTAGAGTGATACTGGGTCTACAGTTTGAACAACAAAAATAAATGACTTTTTTCGTCATCTTTTTTGATTTCGTCCCAATTTTGTCGGCTTTTTGCTGATTCCTTGAGTAAGCTTTCGTTTTCAAGAGGGTTATTATAGTTCTTTGTTTTCTGGTTTATACTCATTAAATTTTATGTTAAAGAAACTTAAAAAATGCATTTTTTCTCATTTTTTGGAATGTATGTTTTCTGGTTATTTTTAAATATTAAAGTGGGTGGAATCATTTAGTTTTATTTTTTTGTTGTTGTTTTAGGGTTGAGCATTATTATTTGAAATCGATTCAAGTTGATGGGATAGCGTTTGTTTTAAAATGGGAAGAAATATTCGAAGAAATTTCTTACATTTCCGGAATTTTTTTTTACAGTTTACTGTTTTGTCAGCAAAAGAAGGTGGTGAGTGTTTCTGTCAGCAGTTCTTTGTGGCTGAAGTTTTTGGAAAAAATGAATTTCCGTATTTGCTTCTTTATTTCCATTACGGGCGTCTTTTTTATTATATTTTTTGTGGTGTGATCCAGCTCTCTTAACGTTGCGTATCATTTTCATATTTGATATAATTGGGTTAGTTTATAGGCTGTCAGAGTTTGTTTTTCAAGTTCTTCTTTGTGGCAATTCAAGCTCCTTTTCGTGGCAATTGTTTGAAATTTTTGCATTCATTTGTTTTGTAATTTTTTTGTCAATTTTTTCTTTCAGTATGATCTTAGCTTATAGTAAAAAACGGCAAGGGCCTTTTTTTGTCCACAATTTTTCCTGTAGGTTATGGATGTTGGTTAGTTGCAAATTCATAATGTTTTTGATTGCATTTAGGAACTTCTGGATCGCGATTTTTTTACCAACATTTTTTAAATCGTTTCCATCCACTGGTTATGAGAAAGAAAGGAATGGAGTTTGTGTAGCCTGAATCCTTTTTTATGTGTTAGGTAATTGTTTTTATCATTGCAATAAGATTTTATTGATTTTTTTTAGCCTACGACAATTTATTCAAGTTTTCACTTTTCGTTAGATTTCTTTCGATTTTTGGAATTTTGTTTTGTATCGCAAGAAGTTATTCATTCGGGACGACTTTGGGTGGTCATTTGGTCGAATCTCTGAGGAGCGGAGACGGCTTCATAAGTCTTTCATCCCCCTCCCTATAATCCGCCCCTGCCAGCACTAGTTTTTGGCAAAACGTTAACTCAAAAAAAAATTGAAGGCTTGCAGCTGATTATAAAAGTAGAAACCATATTTAGAATTAAGATGATTTATTCGCCTTTAATCAAGTTAAGTCTAATTACGCCTGCGATTAGCAAGCGTTATCAATGTGGAATATAGACCTGTCTCAGGTTTAAAACTTGTTTAACAAAATCACTTGATTCAAAAGTCATATTAGCAGCGATGACTTTATATTAGTCGATCGTCTTGTAATTGATAGCTGTGACGTTGGAGACAATGTTATGTGTTGTTTAGGGATTATTGTGCTGGCGAATCTGGACGTGCGTCCCACTGGTGACTCCTCCCGCAAGTTTTGCTTCGAGCTGGTGTCCCGAGAGAGCAGAGACCGACTGCCACAGGTCATCAAAGCCACCAAGGCCACAGAGGGGGGCACACATGTCAAGGGAAAACACTCCAGGTGAGATGCAGACTACCAACCAAACCACACAGTTTTAGACAGTTGCAGGCGTTGGGAAGCAATAAAATACTATTGAAAAGTACAACATTGGTTCCATGTACAATATTGACGATTGAGTTCGTGTTCTTCTTAAATTTGGAATAGCCTAAGAAAGTTTGTCTACCAAATGTCTTCTATGGAAAATGTTTGGTTAACTTACCGTTTAAAATTTAAATTTTTGTTATGGTATGTACATTTTTATTACCACATTTTTGTGGCACTTTTTATACCTTATTAAGTTTTAAGAATTGTTTAGTGCGGACCCTCCCCATATTACTTAAAGAAACAAGTATTTCGATTGATCATGATCTTATCTGCGATTCGCCCTTTTAAATGAAGAGTGCATTTTGTTGAAGGTACATAATGAGTGCGAGTAGTGAGGAAGAGAGAGACGAATGGATAGTGGCCATCAAAGACACCCTCAAAGTGGACATGGTGTATGCACTGCTCCAGTGGAGACAGAACAACAAACTCAGTCAACACTCTTCACTAGGACAGGCCTCGTTCTGAAGTCCTGAAAGTTGAAGCTCCTTGCCAGAGTTTAAGAAAATATCACAGTTAACGAAAAGGTGTCCCATTATCATCATCAGAATCGAAGCACCCAGTGATTTAGCTCCAAATAACCTAGATAAAAGTCCTCATTGAGTTTGATTCTTCAAACAAAAGATGCCATTTAATCACAAAGCACCAAAATATCACGATGAAAGATGTCTCATTCTAGAAGATGACCCAATAGATCGTTCGACAAAAACTTCCATGTCCTTCAGATCTGGAAATTTCCATATCAGATCTCCATATAGCCCACTGTATCACAAAAAGACTAACACGCTGCATTTATTAGATGGAAAAAATTATAATTACATAAGTGTCTATAAACCAGTCGGTTTTTTCCTGCGCGCGATGATGCCCCTGGAAATCCTCACAAGTTACTTGCCTCGTAAATTGTTAGAAGACAGAAATTTCAATCTCAATTAGAGTTTTATAGCAGTCATGATGCGTCCAAATTTTGCAATAAAGGAAAGGCTGCAATCCAGTATGTTTTGATACCACTCAATTCTCTCTTTTTGTGCCAAACTTTCAACGAACTTTGAAAATTTGTCACTGAATAGGTGAAGGATAGTCGTCCGAATTACACATTCATGTCAATTTACCACTCTTCTTGTCGAAAACATCCTTCGAAACACGACGTGGTCTTGTCTCGTAAAGTAAGAAAGATCAATAGATTAAGAACTGAATTCTCCAAAAAATTCTAAAAACCCCTCACACCTCTTAGTGAGAGAATTTGTCATATGATGGGCGATGCATCTCAACAACTCTGCAGCCTCGAAACAGCATCATCCGTCGTTTCTTTGATTCTATTTTGTCAGCTCCTACGCTTCTTGAATATAGCAACTGTGGTATGCAAATATACTCAGCTTTTTGATGCAGCGACTCTATGTAGGGGATTGTGAAAGAAAGTTTGAAAAACGGTAAAATGGCATTCAAGAGAAAATAAGACTGAATGAGAAAAATTTGAATAAACTTTATTTCTCTATATACGCTTTGCTATTTATAACTGAACTGTCCTCAGTTTTTTGTTTTTGCTTTTCTAAATATTTATACAGCGCTCAATTTTTGACAATATTTCGGTAGCTGATAAATTAAAAATTCTTGCATATGTTTTCTTCTGTAAATCAGACCAAAGTTTTGCAAGTATGAACGAGAAATGTTTCTAAAGGTTAATGGAAGTATGGAAGAAAAGTGTTTCTAAAGCCAAACAAGAGTAGGCAGTTGCTGTGTACATAGAGTTTTCCTACTATAATTATCATTGCAAAAAGTGTAAAATATATAAAAAAAATTGGTTCACTTTTTTGCCGTTTTCTTAGCAAAAAGAGATTGAAATTAGGCCTCACGAAGAAGCTTACAATAAAAATAAGTCAATGGCATAATGAAGCCAGATTGTGGGTGACTTTCTTAAGCGTTAATGAATTAACCATAAGTTGGTCTGAATAGCCGAAATCCCACCAGTATTTTTCGACACAGGGAGAATTTGTTGGAATCCGAATCACTAGTAAGCCTTTGATATGAGACTACACTTTTAAGCTTGAAAACTTAGTTTTACTCAATTAAAGGTAGTTTTTTAGAGCAATTTTGGGTTCAAAAACTTGAAAAATCAAAAAATTTCCGCAAAAAAGTTTTAAAAAAATTCAATTTTTCAATTTTTTCTAGTCATTATTCAAAAACGGTTTTCCAATTGACCGATTTTACCATGACTCTTAAATATGCCTAAGTTCTAATATTTCGTTCAGATTTTTTTTATCACAACATGCAGATAAAAACGACACCAATTTGAGAAAACATTTTTGTATTTTTCTAAGACTGTGGTCGGAACATACTGTGCTACTTGCACAGTAATCGGCTATCCGTGTTAAATTTCCGATGAGTTTAAATCTCATGAGGTGAACTTGCTTCATTCAAACGCATCGCATGCTGTTTTTAAACGGTTTTTTAAGACTAGCGTGGCTCAGTGTTGCAAGGTGTTCGTGGCTGATTGTTATAAGGTTTCAGATTATCAAAGTGCAAGTGCCTCATTCGAATACCGCAGTCCTCCCTTTTTAAGGCTTATTTCGTCCATGGTCAAGGCTTGCTATCTTCAAAGGCTTTTTTTGCGTGCTCCATTTTTCGTTTTGTTGCCAGTATTTGTGAAGCCAAATGCAACAAGAAACTATTGCCATCATTTTGCGAATTTTTTTTTGAAAAACATGTGCATATATTTACTTAATCTTAGTTATTTCTAGTTCTAACCTTTCATACTTAGATTTTTCAAAGCAAATTAAGCAAATTAACAAATGATTCTTTTCTACTAAATTTTTGATTAAGTGTAATGAGAAAAGTGAATTTCACTTATTCAGCTAGAATGTTTGTTTTCAATTTTTTTTTGATGGTTTGTCTTTTAATTTCTGTTTGACTTCACTCAAATCCATTTGCTAAATGGAACGTAAACTATGCTTTAAAGTACAAACGAAGCAAAAAAAAACGCGATTGACTTGTTTCAAAATTGAACATTAAGTTGAAGATCTAAAAGAGTTTAAAAATTGCCTAGTTTTTGAGAAATGTTAGTGTCAATGAAGAAACTTGTATAGGTCGGGTTGATTTTTGTTCTGTTCTCAGGATAAAGATAATTAAGTGACGCTTAATTTTGTTCACGCTTGAATGCTGAGCTCACAAGTGAAAAACTCCTTTGGCTCAAACCTGAATGAATTGACTTCTATTTTCAAAAATGGAGGTGGGGATTTTCTAATCAGCAATGTGTGTCAGGCAAGTTGCGGTTAAAACCATTTATGCAATCATAGATTTGCATCGATCTACTTCATTTGTTCATGACATGTCAAAGATTGTCGGCTTTGTTTCCGCTTCGCAAGTTTTGTTTCGTTTCTAATTTATTATCAATTGTCTTTCTTGGCATGTTTGCCTGTAGACTGTGAACTTTAATCCAGAGATAAAAATTATGGTAGACATTTTTCTTTTTTTACTCACGTTTTTATGCTCTTGATGAATCGCAATTGGCCTGAAGTTTCGCTTCGCCTCTATTTATTTTTGAACAAAATGTGTGTCAAAGTTTTCGCTTAAAACGATTGTTTAAGTTGACATTGTTTTCCTATCGCTTATTTTAATTTGTTTTTTACTAATGCAAATACTTCTCCGAGAAAATTGTATATGAGTGCATGCCTCTTTTTTATGATTGGCTGGATGGATACACAGGGCATAATAGGATGAAAATGTTATTATTTAAAATCGAACACGATTATATGCGGTGTTTAAAATCATACTTTGTCGACGTTACTCAGTCTTATTAGTTCTCTGCAAAGCTACAACCCACAAACTTGTAACTTATTGCCCGGTTTCATAGAAAATATTGCGTAAATTATGCTGGACAAGTTGGGCTTATCAAAGTGGGTCAATTGTTTTCGACTAAATTCAAGATTTCGGGCCCTGATAGGTATGTCTAGAATATTATGTTTCGGGAACATCTTTTCGTGAAGCTTTTATCGGCTTGTTCTCTCTTTGTACAAAACTTTTGCGGCCGCTTCTTCGCTCAAGATTTATTTATTGTGTTTTTTTTGGAAAAAAACTTGTTGAAGCCCAATTTTATATTTAGGCAGTACGACTATTGATTTCTTACACAATACTACGATCTCAGATAAAAAAGTAATCTACGTTTGAAATTTTTGATCGAATCTGGAACTGATGGCAATAGGCATGGGTAAAGTTTATTCTAGAATTCGTCTTTTTTTCACGTACGTTACTTCAATTACGCCAAAAACCTAACCGTTTACCTTCTAAAATTGAGGATGTTGAATATCCGCATAATCTGTCTTTTTGGAAAACTCCCACAATTTGATCAATTTTAGCAGAATCCTTTAAACTCTCACCACGCTGGAAATAATAATTTTGAATTTCGATTAGTTATTTATTGACTAGATGAGTTTTTCCAATTGACATCAAGAAGCCGTTCCAGTCGTACGGAAGTATTGCATAATCTAAAGTGTACATCACATTTCCCAGAAACCAAATCTGAGAATCTGTCAACTGGCTGAAATACTGGATAACTTTGGCGTTCGTATCGCTTGATTTAATTTCAGGCAAGGTCGTTTCGTTCTTGAAGACGATTGGGTACTTGGGAAGTACCTGTTCTAAGTGCTGTTGGAGGTTCTCAAACAAGACCACATCTCGCCAGTTTGAAGAACAGACTTGACAGCTCTCGGCAACCACTGACTCCCAATGCCACCACACCCAGTCAGGAACAGGCTTCTGAAAAAGAATCAATAACGAATCAGAGATCAATTTAATTGTTTTTTAATTGTCATATTCGACATGGACTCAAAACGAGCAAACAAGCTCTTCTAGTTGGAACTGTGATTTGGGTGACCTGGATGAACGCATGAATTGAGTAAAAAATAAGAAAAGAGCCTGATTTCTTTAGTATCTCTTATAGAAAGTTTTTGAATCTTTTTTGCATTTTGACAAATTTTCTGGAAGGTGACCCTATCTATTTTTTGGCCAGTCTAACTTTTTTTTGCTCAATTATACAATTTTTTAGATACTTCTACAGTGACTTTTCTTCTCTCAATGTTTTGGTTAAAAAGATCAGAAGCCATTACTATTGAACCTGGCATGAAATCGGTGTGTTCCTTCGTTATTTACCATACAAGCATGAGGGGAAATTTAGAAGGACTTTTAAACTATTTCAGAACATCGACGACAAATAGCTCGTGAACAGAGCTAGAACAGCCTTCTAGGTTATTGCTCAAAGAATTATTATTTTGCTTGACACTAGTTACCCTTATTGTTATCCGCTATGCCTGCTCATCTTCAAAAGTTGTTATTAATCAAATTTAGGACCCGTATTTCCAACCCCTAGTAAACCCTTAAAGCACCCGAACGTTGAGTTGAGAGTTTCAAGTTCTGTTAGTTTTTTCATATCTAAAAATATCCCGAAAACAAAAAATTATATAATTAAGGATTTTATTCTGAAAGCACAAATGCAAGTTAATAGTGTAACCTGAGATTGCCTCACCGTAAGGTTGAGAATTGTAAGTGGTTAGCATTTTCTAAATCTGTGTTTTTTTTTATGAAAAGACATACAAATCGCAATAATTCGCAGACCAAAAGAGTTTAAGCACTAGTTTTTGCAGGTCAGATTTGCAACCCTTATGTGCACAGTACCCTAGAGTTGAGAATCTCATTTTTGTCCAATTAAATTTGACATGAAAAATTTTTGAAATTTGCATTGCGAAATAAAGAAAAAACTGCATTTGAAGCATCCACGGTTCAACAGATGTATAGTTAAAATAATAAATGACCTGGGAAATTGAAAATGTTCAATTCGATAAAACAAATCAAACGTTGCATAACATGGGCATTTTATTAAACATGCCATGATAATTCTTTGAGCAATAAACGAGAAGACTGTTTTAGCTCTGTTCACGGTTCAACAGATGTATAGTTAAAATAATAGCTGACCTGCGAAATTTAAAAAGTTGAATTTGATATAAACATATTAAGCGTTGCAAAACAAGGGCAATTTATTAAACATGTCAACAAAAAGACTTCTTAGCCATGTGTCAAGTGAAACGCCAATTAAATAATGTATAGATAGATTCTGATTATCGTTTATTACCCTTGCGGTATTGCAATTGGGTACTAGGCTTTTTTCCGTAAATAACTTTGTTGACAGGACTAATCACCTCCAGGTGGTACTTTGGTTCATAATAAATTCCAACTTCTTACTGTCTCCTGCACACTTCGCCTGGAAGTAACAAAAATTTCGTTTGTTCCCCTGATATTTCTTTCGGTTTTCGTCTTGATTGAATTTGGCCGTTTTTGTCGACTTGGTCGGCTCTTGTTGCGTCGTTTGATAATAGAATTTTTTTTTTGGTGTGTATGTGTTTTGAGGGGAGGGGAGACTTAATTTGTTCTTATTTATTAAGCATTTTTTGATTTTTGTTGGCATGAATGGCTTCTGAGGTTTTTTCCGTATTGTTACCGCTTGCTAAGTTTTCTGATCATGCTAAGTTTGAATTCTATTGTCTGGCACGTTTTTTCAAACCTTTTTGTAAAATATAGTTGTTTGTATAGTGATAGAACATCAATATTACGCTTTAACCTCGATATTATGATTTTTCGACTTTCGATTAGGCTCTGTTTTGTTTGGGAATTGTGTACAACACCTTGATTTCAGTACATATATGGTTTTTGTTTCTTTGGGAAATACATCTTTTTTCCAAAAAGATTTAATTCTGTCGGCTTTAATTCTGTCAGCTTTAATTCTGTCTGCTTTAATTCTGTCGGCTCATTTTCCTAAAATTTTATTTTCTACAAATTTCCCATATGGTTTATGAGTCTTTGGCCCCAAATTTAAGTTTTCTTATGTTCAAATTCAACGCCACTTAGAACTCTTTAAAAGTTTAAATTTATTTAAACATAAGAAAAACGATTTTCATTTTTTTGTTTTCTATTTGTTTCTTCAACGATAACCACGTTTGAAGTCTACTTCGATAGTTCTTGAGTGTCACGCTGTTTTAATTTTATACTTGTTGTATGGCAAGTGGTGCGAGGCTCAGCTTTGCCTCTGTGTCATGATTATTACGATTATGATTATAAATTGTAAATGGCAAAAAACTGACTCACATCTGGAGAAGCGTCCCGGATTTTCCCATTGTTTCTCAAAAACATGTGAATGATATAATCAACGAAATCTTGAAATCCCACATCTATGGTTTTCACTCCTTGCATTGGTATCTCGTACAGTTTAGACGCAGTCTTGTGGCTGTTTTTGACGTACAGGGCAATGTTTTTTGCAAAGCCTCTCCAAGCTGAGCATATCTTGGGTTGGCATTCTCGCAATTTGTTTAGGAACGCTGAAAAATATCATTGCTCGCAGGAGTAAATTGAGATGCTCTGTGTAATGGGGTTTTAAAATGTTTCAAAGATAAACCATTTTTCCGAAAAAGGTGACTTTTCGACAAAAATTTGAAACCAGTTTGACTTCTACTGAAAAACATCGAAGTCTCGAGCGCTTGCGTTTCACTATAAACACCAATAGCGTGTTAAATAGATTTTGACTTCTCAATTTGGGTTGGCCCATTTTTTCCTACTATTGGTTTTGGCAGCTCTTTTTGATTTCTTTCTAAAAGTGAGTGGCACAGGAAACGGGAGCGTGCATCAAAAAAGCTGCCTTTTTCCTCAAAAAATTGCAAACAAAAACGTTTACATGTCACAAAACGCATGTTCTCAGAGTTTTGATGGTGGATAAAAATCCTCAAAATGCGGAATTGGCGCCAAATATGCCTTCGCAGTATTTAAGGCTGCTATAGGGGATCGCAATATTGAGCAGCCCGTAATTACTTACCTCCCCCATTTAACTACTGATTGTTGCTTACAAATATTCATAGAAAACCTACTCAACTTTTCAGTTTCGATCTACAATTTTGAATTTTTCAGAGGCGCCCCGCTGAGGTGCTCGACGCTTGATTTGACTTTTTGGAACAAGTTCAAAACAAGTATTTATTTTATCCTATTATATTCTTGATAAACTATCTCTGTAAAATACTTAGAAGTAACCAATCATGATCCATAAGTAAAACTTACAATAATTTGTAAGGCGGAAACTATTTACAGTTTCAGCCAGAAGAGAATAAATTTAACTTAGCAAACAGTTGCTCTTCCTCAGGATAGTTCTTGATATCAAGCCTCGCAAATACCAGTATACACTAGGTCTATTGAGACTAGGAGATATACGAGTAAGATTAACATTGGTATTAGACTAAGAAGTTGCACGAATCTATCCGGCCGAAAATAAGATGGTGTACCTCATCTGAAGAGCGTGACAAACAGACGGTGTACCTCATCTGAAATTACTCTATGAGTGAGCCACCCCGGACTTAAACTCACTTTATTCAATTTTGTTAGACTTTAATGGACTTAGTTCGTTTTTTTTCGGAATAGTTAAAGTAACCAATCAGCTGAAGTTAATTATCTAAAAATTTGACCTCTGTTGATCTTGCCTGAAAGCATTCTGTGCATGGGTTCTCGGATGACGATGAACGCATTGATGTGTCCAGTTGCCTCCTTCACAGTTGCCTTAGATCCCCGTTTCAATAAAGATCTCGTCAGAAAAGTACTGCCGGATTTGGTGTTCAAGCAGAAACTGTACGCCCTAAAATAAAGCCGGTAAACAAACGCATGTCTTAGCTGGATATTCGCATGCGCGAAGAACCGAATGATCGAAAAATTTCAACCAATCAGCGGCCTTAGAACAGTCGAAAACACTTATTTTTCAGGTTATTTCTCTCCGCTTTTTGAATATTTATTCTGATTGGCTGATTTATGTTCGACATTGTTTCGACAGTGTTAGAATGAATTGGTCCAGGGCTAAGTCCAGTCAGAGTTTTTAATTTTAACGTCAAGTACCCGCTTTGTAGTCTAAAATAAATGCTCTCTGCTGTTTCCTGATCGCTTCTGTTTCCTTGGGTCTCAAAAGAAGTTGCTTTCTAGTTTTGCAACGAAAGAGTTACGGGCCGAACGAAGAGACTTTCGTTTAACTTTTTTTTGCCCCTCTATTGCGTCTTCGTTTACAGGCAAAATAATTTTCACGGCGGAAACTGACCGCAATGAATCCAATTCGGTAATAATTGAAAGAATATAAAGGTGCTTAGCGGATACCCAAAGATTAATTACTTACTGCCGGTTACAGAACCAAATGAAGAAATTGGTTTAGAGTCTACCTGTTCATTGGAAAAAACTGAGTCGTAAATAAAATCTATCAGTATGTGAAGATCGTTTTTACTTTAAAAATTTCCATCCGCCAAAGTAGTAAGTTGTTCTTTCTTTTTCTGTTGTAAAATTTGTGTCTGAATAATGTTAATTACATATGTACTGAATTTTGGCCGCGGCATTCTGGAAATAAAACTACAACCTCGACCAGTGATGGTTACCCTATAAAGATAAAAGTATACAATGCGTAACGTTTTTTGTTGTGAGAAGTAAATAAAAATTAGCTATACTTTTATCTCGAATTTCAATAGATACTGTGGGTGACCATAGGTGGAATCGTTGGGTAGAACGATTAGTTTATATAGTCAATCAAAACTTATGGGGATGGCCGTGGAATCTGCAAAACAATCCTTTCGTCAGCTCTAGAACAAAAAGCGAACAAAAAACCATGCGATCGTCCATACAAAACACCATAGGTTCGGTCTTCATTCAAAAAGTTTTCATAGATCAAGTAACGCAAGGTAGAATTTTAGCTCCTGAATGCAATTTATATTCTCGTGTAAGAAACGGCAGAAAAATGGAGCGCCGACGATGCCGCAGATGACGAATACCCAGATTAGGCTATGAAGCGATCCAAATAGTGCAAAGAAAACCGAGTTTCATGGAAAAAAAAACATTATTTCAAATAAAAAAAGTTTTCGTTTGAAAATGAGTTGACAATCGTTTCATAAATTTAATTGATGCCGGAAAATTTTGGTAGCTAGCCAAATTGCTTTTTTTAAAAGTCCACGCGCTTTTACAAGAGTTATTCAAGGGTGTCACAGGTTAGAACCTTCCATGCTGAGGAAGATCTGGAAACGTTATTTGCAATGCTACCTGCTCACGCAACCAAATTTGAGAAATGAGCGCTTGAGGATTAGCTAGTTTGAATTTTTTGGTTATTGAGAAAAAAGACTCGAGCTGCTGAAGAGAGCTCAAAAAACACTATAAATAAATATTCAGAGGAACAGCGAGATAAAGAGAGAGATAGAGAGAGATAGAGGGGGAGGGAGCAGAGGAGAGGAGAGGCAGAGAGAGAAGAGAGAGAGAGAGTGAGAGAGATAGGTGAGATAAAGGGCATAGAGAGAGAGAGGCGAGATAGAGGGAATTGAAAGAGAAAGAGAAGAGAAGAGAAGAGGAGAGGAAAGAAAAGGAAAGGAAAGGAAAGGAGAGGAGAAGAGAAGAGAAGAGAAGAGAAGAGAGGAGAGGAGAGGAGAGGAGAGGAGAGGAGAGAAGAGAAGAGAAGAGAAGAGAGGAGAGGAGAGGAGAGGAGAGAGAGAGAGAGACAGCGGGAGAGAGAGAGAGAGAGGAGAGAGAGAGAGAGAGAGAGGAAAAAAGAGAAAGAGAGGAAAAAGATAGAGGGGGGGGGGGAGGGGGGGAGAGAGAGAGTGTGTGTGTGAGAGAGAAAGACAGAGTGAGGGCGAGAGATTGAGAGTGAGAAGAAACAAAACCATGAACAATTGGTAGAAAAACATACGAGAAGAAAATATAGAATTGAGTACAAATTGTTGAAAACGTTTTGCTCAAATACGTCGGTCGTCAACAAGAAGATCACCAATGAAATGTAAAAACACTCCAGTGAAACTGCCGAGGAATGCATTTTTAGTGAAACTGCCGAGGAATGCATTTCACCAACAAGATGAGTTCAAACGAAGGTCAACTAGAGAGAAGTGAAGAAAGTGAAAACTAAGTAGAGGTTGAAAACATGCTAAAAATTTTTCTCTGTTTTTATATGGCATAAGGGTGGCCGTCTTTGCTCTGAAAAGCGAAGGTAGGTAAGTCTTTGGACGTAAGATGAAGATGTTTTTTCTCGCAACTCAAGATACTACGTTTTAAAGAAAGAGAGCGGTAAACTCAAGTTGTAGACGATCGTACAATAAAACTGTACCAGAATTGGAATAAACTGTCACTGGAGTCTGCATCAGCTGTCAGATATCTCTGGCTATTCATTTTAGTCATCATTCGAGCTTATGAATTAACTTTCGTTTTTATCTCGGAGTGTATCGAATTGTTTGCTTTTGACCAAATTGCTGAGAAACTGAATTACACGCGTTACGCCAGCTGTAGAAAAGGTGATTCTACTGTAAATTCAACTAATTGCAGAGCCGCCGTACACAGCATCCCCTTTCGTTTATAAAATGGTACGCTACGATAGACCCAATGGCCCAACTGATTGATTTTAAGCGTAAAAGGAACGAATTAGGGCAATCAAAGTTTGGAGAAAGTTTTAACGTTATTATCGATACTTTGCGAAAAAGTGACATTTAAGTCATTATTGACGTGTTGCCCATGTTTTAAATTAGGCTATGAAAAATACTTGCGGGACCCCGTCAACATAGCAGGAGGAACTCAAAAGTTTCCCTGTTCCTTAACCTTTTGGCTCTGTTAAGAAACACATGCAACCTTAGTAGACCGGAAGGTTAAATCTTCCAGAGGTACAGCGCTAACAAATGCCCAAAGTAATTAGTCCCATCACGGATTTCCAAAAGTCGTTTGCCGGGCCCCGCTAAACGCAGGTAGCCAAAACTTATCTTACGATAGAAAATAACTAGAGAAGCCGTATGTCAAAATCTGAATTGAATCTGGTAGTTAAACCGGAAGTTATTAGCAGTGGGTAAAATAACCTTTAAAACGGAAGTGGGCAATTCACTCAAAATAATGAGAAAAAGCATATTGATTTTATGGCGTCAATAGACTCTAGAACCCAACTTCAGTAAGGTACCCTAATGACCCGAAATTTTCGAACGACGACCTCTTCCGGTGTGAATTGTCCTCCCATGGTAAAAGCGATATTTGATCTTTAAAGTTTGCTAAATTTAGAAGAGTTATTGCGATAAGAATGAAACTTGGTTGGTAGGAACTCTGTGGAATTTTGAACCCGAACATGGAAGAGTGAACTCGGGAATATCATCGAAAAATTGTGTTGTCCCTAGCCCAACCTATTAAAGTTGGAAGTGGTCACCGACTTATTAGTTGGAAGGAAATTATGTATTGGAAAATGAAGCGGAAGCTGAAAAAGCATAGCTTTTACTCAGTAACATTGGAGTAATGGGTTGAGTAAGAGTGGAGTTGGCGAACATTAAAACCATTATAGCTGGCAAATAGAGCTATCAATAGAAACTTTACTGGTATAAAGAAAAGTACTCTCAAAGAAAATTGACAATAATAGAAGCGTGGCGCGTGATATAAGTCTCCTAAATAACAAGAACGGACGGGATTTTTACTTAGCTCCCTGGAGCTCACTTTTGGCAATTTTTGATCCCTAATAGACGTACTATACGCTTGATAGCTAGAAGGCCGGGTTTAGAATAGAGCGTTGACGGGATTTTTATATGCTTGGAATTAGTTAGCTACCTAGGAAATTAGGGTATTTCCACACGTCCACGAGTTCGGAACGTTTAGGGGATAAATGAATAAAAACTTAGGAGAAACTTAAAACGAACGAAACTTGGTTCAGAGGTGAAGTTGAAATTGAAGTATGCAAACTTACTTTGGAGTTATCTATAATGAACTTGGAGTTTAGGACTAGCGTCGTCAGTGGGAAAATTCAAGTAGCTTCTTGCGTAAAGGGTACCACAGTAAATGTGAGGACTTGTAGGGGCGATCATAACTATACCTAAAACTCATACAGACAATCATAGCGAAGAAGTTACGGGTAGCCTTTCTTCAGAAGAAGTATTGCAGTGACAATAAATAGCTGTTTCTCATTCTTTGACAGAACAGCTAGTACCGAGTCAGAGAACATTGTTACGAAGTCGAGAGATCAGTTAGAGTACCTTAAAGGAGTAGTGATCCGTAGAAACACTTATAGTTTTAGCAGATCGAATGGATAGCCGAGTGGGTATAAGGAGCGTTGTTGGTTAGTATGGATAGTTAGGATTCTCTAAAGAGTGAGAGTTGTTTAGTTGAATAACAATAGTCCATAAATCGCGGAACTTTAATAAACCGTAAAAAAGAATTGCCACTTTTTTTAAATCCTTTCGGGTTTAAGGATAGTAGTGAGTCTCGATCGCTCCGCTGAACTCACTACTCAATGGACCGCTTTACGCTGTCGTTGAGAGAAAGAGAAAGAACCTAGAAAGGCAATCCCTTAAATCTACACCAGGTAAGGAAACTTATGTCTGAAAATAGACGATTAAAAGTTGTTTTATACATTATACAAGTTATTGATAATTTATAACCTCCCATTAGATTCACAGAAAAACCTAAAAATACCATGAAAAATCGTAAAAAATCAACTAGATATAAAAATTGTTTTTGTTTTTTTTTGGCAAAAAGTACTGCTGTGAGAACTCCAAACCGAGCGTTCAAAACCAAGTATTCATGTTATTCGCAGAGTTTGCATCATAAGCTTACTTTTTGTCTCTTGGATCAAATCGGTATCGTCTTTTTGGGTGTCGGATATCGCCAGCCAGCTTTTCGGTTCGTTTAAACAACTCGTGATTGTCGACTGTGTCATTGGAAGCGTTGAAATCCTGTCTTTCAAAAAACTGAGTAACCCTGCAGTTTGACAGAACTAAGTGGGCGAGCTCCGTCGTCGATTTTTCACCAATCGAGTAGGGGTAGTTTATGTATATTTTATTGAAGTCTTTTGGCTCCGCAGATATAACAGAAGTCTTTTGTTGTTCGGGGCTTCTAAAGTCAGATGCCAACGGTCTGTTTTTGTTGAACTGATAACCGATTGTTTGCAAAGTCTAAAAGATTATGACCAAGTTAATATCCATAAGCCACCACATTGACCAAGTAACAATCCACACATCCCCCCTCCACGCAACTATTTAGTTTGAACAATTGCTTAGCACTGTGTATACGCTTGGTTTCGATTGGCTTATTTTGTAACCAGAGCCAAGATGAAAAAGGCCCCATTTTGTTTGAGGTGATGGACGTTAATTTGAAAGCGAGGATTATCCAATTTCTTATACAAAGTTTGCCCCCAGAATTGATTGTAGCATAGTATCTTGCGAAGCTCTCATGTGGTCACTTCTTGGCGAATGAACCCATTTTTACATTCAAATTTTTTGTAACACGTTCCAACTCATGGCTAGGTATAGATCTGTTCATCAAGTAAATCATAAAAAACTTAATTTGACAAAATGATCACTTACAAAAAATATTTGCCCGCATTCTAATTACAGCGCCAGTAATCCTTTATATTGTCCTTTATATTGTCCTTTATATTGTCCTTTATATAGTGCTCAAAACATTACTTACGAGGCCAAAATGTGCATTTTGTTAAATGTAAGCGGCTTCTGCAGCAGGCAAAAATCAAATTGTCGCGGAATTCATAACATTGCCATTTTTCTTTGATCTTCTCCACTGTTTTGGATTCCACGGACAAATAGTTAAAGCACTGTGTTGCTCAAAATTGCTCCAAAAACAGGCAATTTTGCGGAACCCGCAACAAAATGTGTGGGATCCGGAACTAGTTTGAGGAATCCATGAACAAATGATAATATATGTGTTTAGTAAACTTAAGCTGTCGCGGAATCCGCAACTGCAAGTGGAATCCTCAAATTGTAGGCGGAATCCGCAGATTGTAAGTTGATTCCGCAAATTGTAAATGGAATCCGCAAATTGTAGGCGGAAACCGCATAAATTTGCGGAATCCACTTTTTTTTTGCGGAATCTGCTTACATTTGCGGAATCCGGAACAACTATCTATATTCGCTCGTTGCGGAATCCGCAACAAGATCAATGTGCCGATAATGCCGAGATAACCCAATAAATTTATTCGGTTTCGTGTTTCTAAAACTATGGTCCCAAAAACCGCTTGCAAATACTAAAGTGTGACTTCCATCGATGTAGTTATCCAATGTTTTAAGATTTGTTTGTGGATTCCGCTGACAATGGTTAAGTTCTTGCTTTTAAATTCCGCAAGTGCATATGCAAGTTCAGTAATAAACAAATTTCTGAATTCCTTTACAGTTTGCGGATTCCGCTTACAAATTTTGCGGATTCCACTTAAATTTGCGGATTCCACTTACATTTTGCGGAATCCACTAACAATTGCGGAATCCAGAACAACTAGCTATATTTGCTTGCTGCGGAATCCGCAACAAATTAAATGTGCCGACACAAATTACGTTACAAGTATATGTACGCGGATTCCACTGAAATTTTGTAGATGAAATCCACTTGCGTTTTGGATTATGTTTAAAGACTTGTCTCTGGAAACCAGGAACATGCAGACACAAAATTGTGCGCCTATCCAAAGCTCAGTTTGGCCTCGTAATGTTTAAAAAAATTTAATTATGTTTGATTAAAACTCTTTTCAAGTTGAAAAATTATAATGAAACTTCAATCGATTATAATCATTTTTTGTCTATTAAACTAGCAAAAAACTTCACACAAAGCTCAACTTATTTTTTGATTACGTTACCAGAATACTGCGTTAAGCTGCAATTTTCATTTTTAGTTTAAAAATGTTATAGTCACGGCTTTCGAAAAATTGATAGATTTTTATGCTAGGAGTGGTTTGCTTTTAGATTGAATCTGTTTCTTGATCTGTTTTATAAATTTCATGTGACTGTTAAAAGACAGAAAATTTGTTCAAAGCTTCCCCCTCAGGAGGTGCTGTGTCTTGTTTAAGTTTTTGGTAATTTTGAGAGGATTTTTTGAAAAAAAAGTAACGGATTATTTTATCTCTGGGGTTATCTTTCACCAGACAAATTTTAACTTTTAGCAAACGATTTTGGGCAAAAATAAATGGTGACATCCGAAAACTATTGATGTCTTGAACTTAAAAAAAAGGTATTTCCCTTGCATGGACTTTTCCTAAGCTTTTCGATAACGCGTAAGCGGTAATTTAATCCAGCTCGAAAAACCAGGCAAGCTTTTGCCCTTTTTAAAGTGTCACAAGAAATAACATACAACGCTTTCTTCTGCACATAGCTTCTAAGGGGAATTTTTGAAAGAAAAAAATCTGAAGATAAATTTTTAATCTTTGTTTTGAAAAACTCGAAAACTTTTCAGCGCATATTTTTCACTAAAGCTGTACATTTTCTCTCAGCTCAGAGTGAAATTACTACACCAAAAAATTTGTGTACAAATAGATACATTATCGAGTTTTGTGTGAAACTAGTTACATTCTTGTTCCGACTTTCGTAACGAAAGTAACGGAATATTTGTGCTCGGGTTTTTTTCTTCAGACACATTTGGTTTTTTAAGTAGTCATCAAAAGAAAAGATAGAAAAAAAAATTTTGTCCTGAGTTTAAAGTTGAAAATATATTTTGTCTGTGATTAATTTTCGTAAAGTTATGGGGATTTAAATATTGCCATTTAGGCCAATTTAGGACAATTACCGCGTGATATGGTTCGCGCTATTAACGCGTAAGCGGAGATTTAATCCGTCTTAGGAATCATTCCAAAATTGGTTGAAGGAAGCCTACTTCCCGTATTTGATTTGTTGCTAGGAGCAAAATTTATCACTTTGTACTTAATTGGCGTGTGGAGGATGATATTCACGAAAATTTTATTACAATTATTTTTTTCATGTTATTACTACTCCATAGACATTAAAAGACATCAGAGCTTTTAGAGATTCGCCCTGATACGAGCAGTATTGTTCTGTTTTGTTGTCAAATAATACGAATTTTTTTAATCAGTCAAAAACAGGCCACGATGTTCAAGCACTGATTTTTGAAAGGATCATTTTTTTGATGCATACCAAGAATTACGGTTTTTGCTCATAGTTCCATGCAAAATTTGTTAATTTTAAGGGCCTATCTCATATGCAATTTATTTTTCGTATGTCAGACTTTTGCCTTTTAACTAATGGGGTTTCTTTGTTGAGAAAAATTTAAGTTATTTTGTTTTCAGACAAAAACACAAATCAAAAAATTTTCAGACAATGGAAACTAGTGAGAAAATATGTTTCATGGAGACAAGAGACTTCATACATGTTCTGTAAGTATGGAATTACTGAAACTTGATGGCACGAAGTTGGTAATTTATGAAAACTGTATGATTAGAAACTTTGGTCGACCCGGGTGCCTAGAAACTCTTAGAAAATTTTGAAGGGCAGTTTTAGAATCTGGTAGGACAAACTGTAAATTTGTGGCTATGGTTCAAAAAGGGTTCAATTTGAGACAAACTTTTAGTATTTTCAAACCTTGTATTTGGAAACTGACTGGTAAATAATTCCATAAGATAACAATCCAGCTGAAAATATAAACAATTTTCCAAAACTAGAGTTGCTGCTGACCAAAAAATTCATTGATATTATCTAATTGATTTGAAAAATGAATTAAACGCAATATTTCAAAATCAGCGGAAGAAGAAAGTTGACCTCTTTTCTATCATCTATCCAATTACGGCTCGAATTTGCATAACTGGTGCCAAACAAATTACTAATCTTGTTTTGTTTGATTACTGTATCTGGTTCTTTTCTAATAAAATGGAGAATAAAATGATCATTTAAATTAATAATAAAGAAAAGCTGGTGCATCTGTAAAAACAATGATTAATTAAATTGCAACGATTTGTAGGATCGGTGATCCTTACATTTTTTTGCCACATTTAGAGTTCAATTTAGAGCTTTACATTGGCAAATGCATGCATTATTGTAAAAGCTAATGAGTGGTACGTAGTTCGTTATTGACGAATCAATACGATAAGTAGTCAAGTAAACACTTGGTTAAATTGCAAAATCGACCAAAACAAACAAAGTCTAGTCAAGATTTGGAACCGGTACCAAATGTGATCGCCCCCCAAATGGAATCTACCAGGGCTAGCTTTACGGAACTCATAGGACAGATTCTAGAGATGATTAGGAAATCCAGACCCCTCGGACCCCCGGCCCCAAGTGATAACGGTTCCCGGAAGCGCAAATGGCCCTATTAGAACTCGGCAACCAGCGGCTGGAAGGAAACCAAAATATAGTATGTTATAGGCCTGGTCGAGGGAAGCTTAACTTTAGGACCCCAGACCCCCAGGACCCCTGCTTCCGGTGCTATGCCCTATGCAAATAGTCCCAAGCCGACTTCCGGAGGTCGTTTCTCGGACCCCATTGAACGCAGGGAGCTAAAAATTTGAGATAACAAAGATAATGACGAGATAAATCATGTAGTATAGTTTGAGCGAAATCCGGCGGTTGGACCAGAACTTATTAGCACTTGGGGAAAATAATCCTGAAACCGGAATTAAACAATTTACGCAAAATAATGAGCGAGGGCATATTGATTTACGGCGACAATAGACACTACAACTCATCCTCGAAAAAAGACTCCTTGTGAGAGAAGCCCCTTCGGCGACTCCTTCCGGTGTTAATAGCATTTTACCTGGAAAAGTGATAAGGGACATCATAAATGGGATAACTTGGGTAGTATTAACGGAATATGGATGAAACTTGGTAAGTAGGACCCCTTTAGGATTCTAAAACTGAACGTGGAAGATTGACCCCGGGTGACCGCGAGAAGACCTTTAAATGACCTTTGGGTGTCTAGGACACTAAAATTGCATAGAAAGCCCTGTTATTAACACCGCAAAGTGGCGTATTCCCCAACCCCAACCCCTGGGAATGAGAATCGGTTACCTTACTAATATTTGGCAGGGAACTTATCTATTGGGAAATGAAGCAGAAGCTGAAAGAGATATAACTTATACATAGTATCAATGAAGTAGTGGAACTATTTAAAATGGACTTGGAAAACATTGGGTTCAACATAGCTTGGAAAATGCGCTATTAATAGAAAATCAACCAGACTAAAGAAAAACAGTCCCAGAGGAAATTGGCGGTAAAAGGAGCATAGCATGGGAAGTAGGTCTCTTAAATAAACTGAAGGGACAGGATGTTTAACCAGCTTCCCGAAGGTGGTTTTTTAGAACAATTTGAGGTCGGGACATTAATGGGATAAATAAATAAAAACTTTGGGAGTTTGGTTAACTAAACATAATTCGGTTTGGAGGTGAAACCGGATTTGATTTTTGCATAACTTAGAGTCGAGTTTAAGACCAGTGTCGTCAGAGGAATAATTCAGTTAGGACTTTACGAAATGAGTACCAAAGTAAATTTCAGGACTTGTAGGGACGACATAACTCTAACTATTACTAAAACTCAAATAGATAAACATTATAGAGAGTAATAAGCAGCCTACCCTTAGGCAGAACAATTGAGCTGTGAGAGTGAACGGTTGATTCTCATTAGTTGGAGAACAATTATTGCATTGTTAGTGGATAGTTGGCTCTCAGTTAGTTAGAGAACATATAACGAAACTAGTTGTTTCTCCGAGTTAAAGAATCCGCAATCCTGAAGTTAAAATGATAAGTAAAAGTACCTCAAAGGAGTAGTGATCCTTAGTGACACTAGTATTTTTAGCAGGTCAGACTGAGTGATTGCGAGGAATTTTTGTGTGTAATTCGTTGATTAAGATTCTCTAGAAAAGAGATAATTCTTAGCTAATTCAGTTGGGATTTGAATTGCAATTAGGCAATTTTTTTGATTGATCGGGATACCTTCTTTTTGATTAGATTACTAGATTATTTTCTGGCAACTTGGAGCATTCAGTATTTGGACCAATAATTAACTGAATTTAATTACAACTGGAAATTCTTGCGATCCATGAGAGTGGGCGAGACAGGCTCAAGAGCAGTATAAAACGGGGGCAAGTTACATGATACAGTGCGGAATAGTTGCCACCTATTTAACTCCTTCGTGATTGTGGATAGAAGTGAATCTCGGTCGGCCCTGAATTCACTACCAAAGGAACCACTTTGCGGTGCCGTTAAGTTAAAGTCTGGTAACGGACCTAGAGAAGCAATCCCCGAAACCTACACGATTTATTCGCTACCGTTAAAATCAACAGCCGCAAATTTAACTGTTGTATTAGACTAAATAAACTAAAGACACAACACAATCACAACAGGTTATTGCCATCCTCACTTTACTGAGTAATGAGCTTACCCTTTTTTTAACGTTTACATTCTTCCTTTTTAAAAAAAACTGATTGAAGTTTGTTTTCGATTTCGATTAAACTTGCTATTAACAAATCCTCTGATTTTCGGTAATTGAGTTTACCATAGTAAAAAACTGTTAGTTATTCACTCTCCAAATTTTATTCTGTAGATTTCATACATTTTAAGAAAAGTTAAGATGATTTTCTGAATAAAATTTTCGGATTCTTAGGAATTTTATTAGACCATCATTTCCTCTCGTCAATTTCACTGGAAATTCATAGATAATAATCATTTTTATTGGATTTTCATTGTCAGTGTAAATAAATTTCAAATATAGTAGATTATAATCGATTCAAAATGGGTTACAATCCCACTATTTTTTAAATAAAAAAAATCCATTATAATCTATTATTAAGAGTTTTTTCCGAGGTTTGTTGATGAAATTTGCATTTTTTTCAAAATTACTTCATTTCCTGTTTAGTGCAGTTGCTACAATTTGAGTTTTATAAACTTTTATTTATCTCTAATTTTTAGTTTGGCAGTTTAACCCTTTTTTAAAATTGCTTTTTACCATCGCCCACTTTTATAATCGCCATTCGCCCACTACTTCCCTCACGTTCTACCGGGGGTGCTCAACGTAAACTCCACCGCCTGTTTTAAACCCCCTCCCCAATTTAC